TAACGGAGTAATATTTGACCAGTAGTATCTGTACTTTCACTCAAGTAAGGAAGTTGTTATAAATTATTACAGGCTGGGTACTTTTGTATTTACACACAGTTAAACTAATTCACAAATTGATTGCTGTGATACATGTAGTGAACTATAAATTACTAACTACTTATGAGCTGACAAGATATTGGAAATGTTCTGGAAACCTGTTAATGAGACGCTTAAAATATATTCCAGCCAGGGGCGGACTGGGACCAAAAAGTGGCCCTGGACTTTCTGGCCCACAGCAGCCCACCACATCCCACATCATAATACATAACCACATAGCCCACCACATCCCATATAACATATTGGCTCATTAATCTGCAGAATCATTTTTAACACAACTTATAGCATAAAAATATAACACAATACAAAAACAAAAGCTATTTAAACATTTATTTCAAGTAACGCAACATATATTAGGTCATATTTGTAAAACAAAGGGAAACAAACAGAAGAACATTAAGACATACAACATTATTAATATAAAACTATCAAGACAGCAAATCAGCTAGTCAGGGGGAATCATCTTGGTGCAGTGTAAGATACACCACCTAGCAGTGCTGCACATTATCATCTTGTCTGTCAATAAACTACATGGTTGACTTGAATCTCTCTATCTCTGTGCCCTTATTCAACAGTGTTGCCTGGTACAAAATACTCTCAAAAAGTGGGCTCTTCTTGAGGTGGTCCATAAAGACAGGCTACCTCTTCCAGGAGAGGGAGCAGGCCTTTTTCTTGTCAGATATCCCTTGATCAAGAAAGATGTGGAGCTGTTACTCTGGTCAGAGATCTACAAATGTGGCCATAAGATATTGAGGAGACAATTGCTGAGAGGGGTGCTACCGAAAAAGCCGAACACATAAGCTATTATGTTATTACAAATAACACAGGAGATGGGCACTATAAACCACATATTCCACTCATGAGGGCTTTGAATGATTGCGTTGGAGTGAAACGCTACATTCAGCAGGATCACATGAGTCCAGGCGAACATGTAGAACTGTTGGCGATACGGTTTCTTCACCAGACTTAGAACAAACATGCAGAACCCTGTGAGGTACAAGGCAGAAGAAATGAAGTGATGGTATTTGCTGAGCATGTGTATGTACTCCCTCAGCACCAGAGTGACGAAATAATCCATGACCGTTTCTCCATAGAAGAAGTAGATCACGCAGAGCAGGAAGTACCAGCTTAGGGTTCTGAACCACGGCATGTGGTAACAGTGAAACACATTGTAAACAATTCTGATAATCTGATGGAAGCACTTGATCTGAATGGACAGCACAGTCATCATCAGATCCTTCAGACCCAGATAAATAGTAATGAAGATGAAGGATATCATAGCCAGAGTCATCCATTGTGAGGATAGGCCTGAGAGGACTTTGCGGAGAACATCTGGTGTGTCATTGGTAGGAACTGGAACTTCAGGAACCCTGTAGTCTGGTTTATCCTCATTGTCCGAGGCTCTATCTCTCTGTAGCCGCTCCAATGGAAGGGGTTCAGAATAATCCTCCTAGAAGAAAGACAATTGTACTGATGCTTAGATGGAGATAGACATGTACAGTTTCTTGAGTTCAATTCTAAGTAAACTACAGCATGTGTGACAGTTCTAAGTAATAAATATGTAAACCTCACCTGAAGGCCATCATCCACAGTGTCCTCATTTGGACTATCTGAAGCCTGGATGACATCAACTCTGCAGTCTGACACGGCAGAGACTGGAAGTTGAGGGACATTCAAGTTGAGAGAGTTGACATGAAAGTCACACATGACACTGTCGAGAGCATGGAGGAAGTCGGCATTGCATTCAGATGAATCACACACACAATCTTGGAAGATGTCATCATCATCATCATCATCATCATCATCCATTTCAGGGTGAGCAGTGATTGGTTCCTCTGCAGTAGGGAGGACTTCAGGGTCACTGATGATATGCTGTGAAGTCTGACCTAAAGAGGGTAATGACATCCATATGACCATATTAATAAATACTGTATATACTGCAAAATTATGAAGTGACTTTTTAGGGGGGCATTCATTTACACAGGACACATTTGCTTTCCACCTTTTCAGTTGTCAGTCAATGTGCAGATGCATGGATGCCTTTCTTTTGGCATGTTTAATAGGTTTTAAACAGTTTTAAAATTATTTAGTTAATAAACTTCATGCTTAATCGAAAAAATTAAGTAATGTGAAATTGTTAAGTTCAAATAACTTAATAATTTTAAGGCAACGGGTTTCCTAACTTTTTTTTTACCTTCTTAACCTTCCAGGTTAACATAATAAATATTGTGTGAATAGATCTTAAAATTTTCCTTTATGCCATTAAATTAGGTGTCACATCTTTAATTAGATTAAAACATCATAATATTCATGCGCAAATGCACCTTGTTAGGACTTGTAAATGGTAGAATACAGACTGAAATAATTTTCCATTTCTGTGTAAATGCATTCATTTATGAAGATATGTACTTAAAGGTGTGTGATGTCCTGTATCAAGTGTCATGTTTATTCTGAATTCTAATCTGTAGTAAAATTTAAGTTTTTAATTCATGCGTGTGCATGTTGTATTGTGACAAGTTAGTTACAGAGTTTTGAGAAGTTACAGTCTCCTGAAAAACCTTTACCGTAATCATGAAAATGAGTATAGAGCCCTGTGCAGACTCCAGTAAACGAAACAAGTTAAATATTCTTATAACATGAGCATATCATTTACCATCATTACTACACAAGAGTAGTACATCAGTCTGGTCCACTTTCTCATGTTGATCTGAATGGGTGTTCTTGACTTTCTTCCTTTCTGTCAAAAGTAAAGCACTTAGTCCTAGTAAAGTAAGTAGTACCATTTTGAATGAGTTACTACCGTACAGGCTGGAAGATGCGCAAAGTGAGAAACACTAGAATGAGAACAACTTTAGTCTGCAGGTGATGCGGGCTGAGCAAAGTGAGTTTTTTTATACGCGCTTTTTACTGTGACGTCACAGTCTAAATGACATTCCAATGCTCCTTGCAGAGTGCTGTCGGCGAATTGCGATCTGATTGGTCCGTTTTGTACTAAAACAGATTAATTTAGGAAATTATTATACCACGCTATCTGAATCAATGCTTCGTTACAAATTGGTGCCGATTTAAAGTCTTTTACAGGTATGAATGGTCGAATATTGGCATCTCTTAAGATTTAGGCATAGGCTGCGCATATGGTGTAATTTAATTGGCTGTGATTTAAGCATGGAGTAAAACCAAAGCGAAATTCGATTAAGATTAAGCCAGGATTAGGTTTTAGTTCAATTAGGACATTTAAGTAAATTTAATCATAATTTTTTTTAGCGTGCCTTAGAAAAAAACATTATTGCTGAGCATATTGAGACAAAACAATGGCACTGACATTTTAAGATATCTATGTCAGTTCAAGTTTTTTTTTTCAGTTAAAAAAGCTCAAACATGCATTTTAGTTTGTTTAATATTTGTCTGTGGAACCGGGCACAAGTGTTTAATGTAGGATAAAAAAATGTATCCTTAAATGTATCCTTTAAGGACCTAAAATTTAATCATTTAAGCTATTTGTTGATTTAAAAGGGTTACAATCTTGTTTCTGCATATGTACTAATGATCATATCTAGATGGTTCATTCATCAAAGATCATCCAGACACATTAGTTTCATCTGTCCATTTTTAACAGCATTGCTCTCCATCCTGTTATTGCTCAAGTCTTTAATTTAATTTCAGTCCAGCATGTTTTGTTTGACTGCAAAGAGTGAGGTAAGATGTCTAGATGGATGAACACATAATGACAGGACATAAGGTTTAGCATGGTTATTAATTACACAGAGATCCTAAACAATATACATCTGCTTTATTTTGCTGTATGCAAAAATAAAGGTGCATGCATGGTAAACAAAAGTATAAATATTCATCTCAAATGAGAATAACAATATTCAAAACATACTACTGGCTAATTCACAGATGCAAGATTATGGTTAACATGTTCAGCACATGTGAATGTGTCGTCTCCTGCTAGTCAGTGATATTGAAATTACACTTCAAATTCAGTCTGATTGGACTTGTACTAACAAAGCTAAACAATCTGTATGAAATTATTAAGCACATTTTATGTTATAACACTGGCTGAACCTGAAGCTAAATTATAGGAATCAAGGAAACCACATTTTTTCTGATGTCATCTTGTTACCCAAATATTAATTAATCATAGCCTGAAAATGGACCAAAAGCATTGAATACAGACCATAAAAATGCAAAAGTTACATATCCATTGAGATAAAATGATCAAGTGTTATAAAACATACTAAAAAACTAGTTTCTATGTGGCATAATTCAAAACAGAGCACGTTTTATTCATTTGAATCGGTGTAATACCTGAACAGGAAGCAGCTTTAATGTTTTGGAAGTTGTGAGACTTTTATAATGGATAACTGTAGTGTTAAAATAGCTTTAATTTGTGCTATTAGCTTTAAATAGCACAAATACATGTCTTATAGCACCTTCGATTAATCTAAATGTTGAGTATAAAGGCATATCAGTATAATATAGAACTGAAGGCACTGTGGCAAACACCAACACACGCATCTATACATAAACTCTATAGCGTGTGGTAAGTGTGAATTTCATCTTTGGCAGAACAGCTGTTTATATCATAATGTGTGTGTCCCTGAGGCCCTGCACACAAAGTAGCAAACAGACCACACACAGCTTGGCACATTGGCACTGAATATCATTTAACACGTCTTTCTCTCTTTACACAAACGGACGGAAAAAATACCTAAAGACACAAGCACAAACATACACACAAAATTATAGGATATGTGCTCCATTCCATTATCTGGACCGCCAAGTAAAAGTTCATGATGCATAAAAAAATACGAATGCAGCTTCAATACTGTGGATTGAGATAGAAAAACAGATACGAGCGCAAAACTAATAACATAAGTTCAGTCAAGGAGTCAATACTGAAACCAGCATGTGAAAGGGTCCAGTGGTTTTTAAATCCACACACTGCACATATTATTATTTCCCTGGTGGCAGACATCTAAATCATGAACTGAGTGTATCCCTCCGCCCCTGTCACGATAACATCCATCCATATTCTCATAGCTTCAGGAGACGGTGCCACCATGAAGTAGACACGATCGTGAGTCTTCACACTGAATGTTAGGGAAGGGTTTGGACTCTGAGAAGAGAGAGAGAGAGAGAGAGAGAGAGAGAGAGAGAGAGAGAGAGAGAGAGAGAGAGAGAGAGAGAGAGAGAGAGAGAGAGAGAGAGAGAGAGAGAGAGAGAGAGAGAGAGAGAGAGAGAGAGAGAGAGAGAGAGAGAGAGAGATACTGAAGATTACAGTTTGGCCTCAAGGGGGCAGCATCCCAACATGCAATTGTCTTATAGCAGACATTTAAAGAATTTATTATTTAAAATCAAAGTAAATTATTAATATTTTAAATATAAATATAAAGCTCATTATATTCATAAGTATCAGCAGCAGAGGAAAAGTACCTTGTGGGCACTTTTTAAGTGGTCGTAATACACTTCCTCTATGGCCTGGAAATAAATCACTCCTTTCAGTTTGGCCTCGTGTTTATCTGAAACCATAAAAAGTACAAAAAGTCAATATTGATATCATGACTGTGAATCGATCAACTTGAGTAATCATCTGACCTGCATAGTAGCTCAGAGTCCTGCGGTTACGGTCGAAGACAAACCAGCGCTTCTTCCAGGTTTTGATTTTGCCGCCCATCTTAATGAGGAAACCCCTGCAGGTTTTCTCTGTGATGGAGACGTGGTAACAAGTCTCTGTGTTGTGGCCGGCCGAGTCTATGTGGCCACGAAGGTCAAAGTCGTCCTTCCTTACAGGTAGGTAGCGTGTCAATGGACGAGACTGCGACGGGGACATGTAGGACGTTACAGGGAAGCCATTTTTATTGTGCATAAATCAATCTAAAACTAGGTTTTGACATTTTCTAGTCTGTTTTTATGTGGTTACTAATGTGTTCTGAGTGTTTTAGCATGTTTTTGTGCAATTGCTACAGTGTTATGTAGTTGCTAATGTGTTATTACTAGTGTTACAGCATGTTGCTATGTGGTTACTAGGGTGTTCTTATGTGTTTGCGAATGTGTTTTGAGGGTTTTTAGCAAGTTGAGCAGTTGCTAGTGTATTCTTAAGTAGTTGCCAAAGTGTTCTGAGAGTTTAGCATGTTTTTGTGTAGTTGCTAGAGCATTCTTATGTGTTTTAGCATTTTGTTATGTCGTTGTTAGGGTATTCTTATGTGGTTTTGGTTATCACGCATGTCACAAAATGCAACGGGGCAAATTACAAAAAGTTTAAGGAAATTAAAATTCTGTCATTAATTACTCACCCTTGTCGTTCCAAATCAGCAAGACATTTGTTCATCTTCAGAACACAAATTAAGATCTTTTTAATGAATCCTGAGAGATTTCTGTCCCTCCATTGACAGCCTACGCAACTACTACTATTAAAGTCTTACGGGTTTGTAGCGACATGAGGATGAGTAATTAATGACAGAATTGTAATTTTTGGATGAACTAACTCTTTAATATTTCAGGTTAGGCGTTTGTTTTATCTTTAACCCTAAACATGAGCACTAGTAATAGCGATGCATGTCTTATCACAGCACTCACCTGTACTCGCTGTTTCTCGCGCAGTTTCACTTCTCTCTCAATGAGTTTCTGCCTCCTGGTGGTTTCTTCTTGCAGCCGTTTCTCTAGCTCTTCTCGTCGTCTCCTCTCCTCTTCAAGGGCCCTGCTCTTGCTCTCCATCTCTCTCTCCTGAAACACAAATGACACCGTACTGTACAGATATGCTCCCAAACGAGTTTCTTTTTATAGCTGCACACAATTAGTACTGTCCGTTCCAGCATAAACTCCCATGAACAACATCAGAAACAGGAAGAACGACTCGATTCCCACAGTGTTCCTCCTGCATTTCAAGCCGAATTAGTTGCTGTTCATGGCTGACCGGAAAACTTCTAACAGAGCAAACAAGCTCACGGTTTAATATCCATGAAGCCAAATGGGGTTCATGTGGGTTTATGGCGTGCTGAAACACTGGACTGTGAACCTGATGTCAGCTCTAGGAGGAAGTGGCAGGTTTGTGTGGCCGTTTCATTACCCTGTATTCCATGAGCTGGTGCTTCTCTGCCTGAGCCTCCCGGAGAAGACGCTCCATCTCCTCCATCTTCAAAACGTTGGAGGTGCTGGCGCTGTCGAAAAATATGAGATGAGGCATTACATTTCACTTCTCAGAGTGAACGCTACAACAACAAAAAATCCAAACCGGGCACTAAAACATTTTACCTATGGCGAGAAGAATGCATACACTTGCAAATGTAAACATGACGTATGTGCACTGGCATGCATGTATATATGCGGAAGAACACAGAAGGAACCAATAAACCTGGTCGGCACTGGAACACATTAACAATCCAGGCACAGAGAGCTTGAGAGTGCGGCCCACAGTCTGACGTCTGATGCTTTACATTTAGACTTCAAAAAGAACACGTGGAATAGATCTGACCAGCCCCTCCTTCCTGTAAAACTCTAAATTTCCCCTACAAACTTCACCTCACCGCTTGGCTCCTCAATATTATCCCTAAAACCTTCACCTGTAAAGAATATATGGGAATCCTCTTCCATGTCAAACCCCATATGCTACCATCCCATTTGTCATATACTGGCATTCCCCCCCAAAAAACAATAAGCTTTCCAGTAACAGATGCCTTTGTGATGTTTCTAACTATATCTGCATGAAGAAAATAGCAGTGCTTGCAATGCAAACCACACAAGAAAAGGGCAAAGTTTAAGCTGAATTTGTTTTGCATAAATGAAATGCACTCAGCGTGCCTTATTTTCTGTCGGATGTGCATAAAAAGCAACACATAATTTAAAAGGTGGCTATAGATGGTTAGGCAGATGTAAGAAAAAATAAGACCAATCAATATTCGGTATGCAAATGAACATAAGGAAGACCAATTGCAATTCCCTAAATGAATTCTGATGACATCATAGCTGTCAGATTAAATTTTAAATTACAGTGCCAGTCTTGCATGTACAATTGCATTTTTTTTCTAGATGTTTCTGTAAGCATGCTTTGCATGGTTGAGTCTAAAGCTGAAATTGAATGGTTTAATCTGATATTTTAATCTGATGATGGACAGCTGTCAATCATTAACAAGATGCCTCTGCATGCATGACAGAGAAGTCTTTCTTGTTCTTATAGTTTGAAAAAAAGCTTTTAAAGTCTTCTTTTAAAGTTTTATTGGTTAATTTACATTTAAAGATACAATTCAAAGATGATCCAAAATGCAAATCAAAACAAACCCATCAAGCATTTTGTGGACAACAGATTTAAAGTAAAACATAAATATAATTATTTCTGATCACCAAGCGCCGGTAACATCTGGCCACCTTATTTGCGTTTTTTTCTATTCACTTGGACACATTTTATTCCTCTCATGTCCTTCATCAAAGAGTTCTTTCATCTTTATGGTATCTTACCAGTGGTGCCGGAGATGAACGGAGGTCATTCCTGATTTAGAACCCAAAGATCCAGCAGAGAGAAGTGGAACATACAAAGACCCAAGAACAGTCCGAACCCGCGCTCTGCGTCTGATTACATTCAAACTCGGGGGAAAAAACCCTGAATCTGTTTCCTCTAACTGTTCCTGCTGTAACCTGAGTGGATCTATCCCAGGAGCAGAGGAGGGGGTACCAACGGTCCTTCTCGGGCCCCTCAGAACTCACATTATTCAAGCAAACCACTCAAATTACACAAGCCTCCAGTGCACACGCATAAAACATAAACACACATCGCTTTGAGAAATGCCCTCATGTGGTCTCATTTGTCAAAGTCTTTTCACTAAAGTCTTTAACTAGTCACTCTCAAACAGATTTGAGGTTTATGGTAACCTACACAAGAACATCCACCTGAGCATTCAAATACTGGATTTCAGTCTTTCTTTCTCTATTCTTTCTTCATACATTGCCCTTGTCCTCAGTATTTTATTCCTTGTACCCCTAACCCCAGACAGAACTCTTGGCTTGAACTACAATAGAAACTGCATAGATGTTTTCGATTACAAAGACATGGTTTGTGTCATGAGTTTATATGATCCGTCTGTAGGTCTGGAAACACACTATCTAAATGGGCACATAGCATAGACTTCTGTTGTTTTCATATAAATAGTCTTTATATTTTTATCTTTATTAAAAAATGTTTTGTTCTTTTGCTCACCAAGGCTGCATCTACGTATTTGATCAAAACTACAGTAAGAAAAGTAATATTGTTAAATGTTATTAAAATTTTAAATAGAATATAAGCAGAAACAGCATTTATATATATATATATATATATATGCATGTAACACCTTTGTAACATTATAAATCTCTTTATGGTCACTTTTGATCAATTTAATGCATCCTTGCTAAAAAAAAGTATTAATTTACTTAATTTAATTTAATATATATACATGCATATACACTACCATCCACTGACCCCAAATATTTAAAGGAAAAAAATCGGCATAGAAATTTGAGTAAATCTCAAACAATTACAAAGAAATGGTAAGAAACACATTGAATTAAACATGAAATTTTGAGGTAGAGAAATGTATTCCAATAATCTGTTTTATTTACAACTTTTTTACAGTATATATAGCATATGAATCATTTTTCCAAAAATACCCAGATGCCACCAAACAAAGGTTTTGTCAGATTTATCTAACTTTCGAGGACACACATATCCCAAGATAGAATCAGTAACAAAAATCCTTGAATTGCTCCCTCACCTGGAGACATTGTCGGGCGAGCAGGCGGAGATGCTGGTTTCCATGCTGTCCGAGCTGTCCATACTCAGTGTGTCGAAGGCACGACCGTTGTCTTGGTAACCAAAGGAGTCTAGGTAGACGTTGTTCTGGGAGGACGCGCGGCCACCGATATCACTCAACCTCGTTCGGTGCTCCTCGCCAATGTGCTGCTGACTGTGCCCTAAGACACAAACCAACCAATGAAAGAAAACAAGAATTTATTCAGCAGTAATGAACATTGTGGAGAAGCACCATTTAATATCAAGCATCTCAGGAGTCCTCCTGCCTGTGTTCAGGGCTAACTCTGCTTTACCTGAGAGTGCAGCATCACTCCCAGGAGCAGATTCTCCATCCCTGCAGTCCAGCTTAGTGTCCTCTGGCCGGGCAATGCCCAGGGCACCCTGGGCCCCTTCACTGTGCTCACAAAGACCAGCCACCGTGCAAAAATATCCTGACACCCTACACTACTGTTCAAAAGTTTGGGGTAAGATTTAATAAATTAAATTCTTTTTTCAGCAAGCATGCATTAAAATTATCAAAAGTGAAAGCAAAGACATTTATAACACTACAAAATATTTCTATTTCAAATAAATGCTGTTCTTTTGAACTTTCTATTCGTCAAAGAATCCTGAAAAATACGAATCATGGTTTCTATAGAAATCTTAAGCAGCACAACTGTTTTCAATATTATTGATCATAAGAAATGTTTCTTGAGCACCAAAGCAGTATATTAGAAAGATTTCTGAAGGATCACGTCACTAAAAACTGGAGTAATGATGCTGAAAATTCAGCTTTGCTTCACAGGAATAAATTACGTTTTAAAATATATTCAAATAGAAAATGTTCAACGTTATTTTAAATTAGAATATTTCACTATATTCCTGTTTTTCTGTATTTTTTATCAAATAAATGCAGCTTTGTTGAGCATAAGAGACTTCTTTCAAAAACTGACCCCAAATTTTTGAGCGGTAGTGTATGTGAGAGAATACCTTACTCTGATTCACAGATTGGATCCCAAGCCCCTAATGATGTCCTTCTTCAGCTATAAATCCAGAATAAAAAGATGGATTGATATATTTGCACTTGATATCCATTTAGTTGCTGTCCCTGGAACTGGTAAGTAGGACATCTAGTACTGCTAGAAGCGGATGAGACTCAACTCCCCTACAACTTGATAACATCAAACACAGCGAGAAAGAGCAGAGACCCGCCTCTGATGATCCTACCCAGGGGACCTTCAGATAAACCATCCAAAAACACAAACAAGCTTTTACACCTACATTTGTAAAGTCATAATTCTCACATATCATCACATAGCTTTAGTGTATTAACATTATCAAATTAAAAAGAAAAGGGTCACATTTGTACTTGTCAGGTTGAAAAGGAATGCAGATATTTGACTTAAAATAAAATGGAAGCATTTCCTGTTTTTCATCTTCCCAACATTCTTTCACTATCTTCACAAAACAAAAATAAATACAAAAAGTTTCCACCCAGTTGCAATAAAAACCTTCTATTTGAGAACATCAATGCCTTATAAGGCAGACTCACTTTAATTAAAGTATTGATTTGCTTGTTTTGATGGTCCAGAGAGTTTTAATTTGGCGTTACTACACAACACTACGAGTTGTTGCATACTGGGTTTTTGATGAAGCCCAAAGTTATATATTTCAGAAATCTAACGGTACGTTTACAGGAAAACAATGTACTAAAAACGTTTTTCCTTTGCGTTTTCATGTACAGGCGACAAAGTTCACACGAATTCATGAAACCGACTAAAAATGCTGTGTTATCCTGCCAGGCCAGTAGATGGTGATGTTACTTAGTAAAGAAAAACTACAAGCCTATAGACTGAACACATAATACGCATGATGCCACAGTTTTCACAAATTCACGTTTTTGTAGTTTACATGGAGTCAATAATGTGAACCGATTGAAACCGGTTTTCAAAAGTGCGTTTTCAGGCCCCCAAAATGCTGTTAAATGAAATGCATTAAAACATTTTTAGTTGAAAATCGTTTACCATTGGTTAGCGAATTTTTATATAATTATATAATAAATAAATCCAGTAATTTGATTGCATACGATTGGAAATTTCGTGTGAGGGCGAAAGATTTCACTGTGGAGATTTCGCAACAGGTTTCCATTTGGTAAAACGGATTTCCTGCATTGACCAAAAGAAATCTGCTTGGTTTGAAAGTGAATTTTGTGTGAGCTGTGCTTCATACAATGCTACACATTAGACAAAATTTCACTAATGTGAATATGGCTTTTGTGCATTCTGCAGAGGAATTTTATAGAAGCCTCATTCCTGCCAAAATACCCATAAACACCCACCATCAGCCCTGTAGTCCATAAACGGCAGGGTGACATAACAATTAGAGTCTATGAATAGAAATAAAATGAAAACAAAATGACTGAAGACAAACACCCAATCATGCAGAACTGAATGACTAAAATAACAAAATACCATTGTATGAAATAAATCATTTCATGCCTTAGTAATATGTACAAAATAGCAGCTTTATTTCATACAAGATTCAACCTCATACAATAAGACCCATAAAAGGCGCTGGTTAACAAAAGTGAAGAAATGCTACAGGTTTCTCCATTTCAGTAAGACCAGACTTGTTAAAAAGCATTGAGACAGGGGCTGACATCAGCCAATGACTGATGCAATGAATGTCCCCCAAAGGAGGACATTCTTCACCAGAGAGGACATGCCAAAAGACTTTGACATTATTTGAATGCAAATTCAAACAGGCACATCTAGTAGGCAGACTACTGTACCTTTCTTAGATTTGCCTGCAGGATAGAGAAAGTAATCCAAGATTAGGCAACATTTGACTAAAGCACCACTTTTGATGAGTATGATGTAATGCTACATAATAACACTGTATATTTTAAACAGTGTGTGTATGAGGTGGAGAGCCCTACCCTTGTGCAGGCGGTGTGTATCCACGTGTGTCTCTTTAGGGGAGATGGCAAGGGCTCGATTCAACACGCTCCCACAGCTAGAGCTTTGAGCTAAAGGTGGATGAGACTAAACACAGGGAGTGATGTTAGAGCGGGCTTTTACTTCAAACATACATAACCATTCAAAAGTTTGAGGTGGGTACGATTTTTACATGATATTATATTATATTAGTAAAATGTTTAAAGTAAGCAGTAAAACAGAAAAATACACAAAAAAGCATATTTCCGACCTTTTTTTTTACTAAATAAAAAAGGAAGGATTATATAAAACTTTTTATTTAAATGCACCAATATAACAAAACAATAATACACAACAACAATATATTTTTAATAAAACATTTTAAAGCAGGTCAGGAACTTAAAAGTTACTACACATTTGTTAGAAAACCAGCCAGGCTTTGGAAAACTTAATGGCCAAATAAAGAGTAAAATCAATGCGACACTCACAAATATTGGATATATTTTATAATTGCAAACAAAATACTGAATATATAGTACATATTCAGTATATCACCCACCCCTTTTATACGTATTTACTTAGTTTGTTATGATGAATTTTATTTATTTGATCCTTGGGTTGATTTTGGCTACTTTACCTTTAAGACTAAAACACACTATATGTACATGCCCTAAAACACACATTAGAGACTTCTATGTATGTATGTAAATGTATAACATATTCTTACTTTAGAGGGTATGTTACGACCCAGGGTGGCACAGGTGAACTGTGGGGTTATGGTGGCCTGGGTCTTCTTCCGAGGAAGAGTGCCACTCAGATGAGCTCCGCCTTCCTTACCGTACCGTTTTCTTTCCTCTAGCGTGCGGAAATGCTGAGGAACAGAAGGTTCAAGGTAAGAAATGTAATTTGATAATTGCACTCATATGTACATACGCACTCGCAAGGTTTACCTGCCTGTGGCGGCGCTGTTTTTTGGCAGGTAGAGGAGGAGGTGGAGGAGAAGGGTTGAGAAAGGTGACCATGTCTTCAGGCCAGTGCACAGAGGGAGGTTTAGGGTTGGGACGAGAGCATGCAGTGAAAGAGGAAGAAGGGATGGTGGAGGACAGTGGACAGGGAGAGGGTGAGAGCTTTGACAAAGAGAGAAAAAGTGAAAAATCAGAAAATAAGGATGCCAGAAGAAGGTAGACCGATAGTATAGTTGGTTTAAAGAGGTCATATTATGGAAAAATTATTTGACTAATGTTTTACAATAAAAAAAAAGCAGAAAAATAGTCATTAAAACTAAGATGGAAAACCAGCTCATCCTGAGATCTGGACAAATTCTTATATTATATAGTTATAAGAATTATAGTAGTATGATATGACCTCTTTAATATAAAAAAGTCAAAGAGAAAGGGATTCAAATTGTATATATTTATATACACACACACACACACACATAGTGACCATGTAACATGACCTTATACTCAATGTTTCCAGTACTTGGCATGTGCAACTAAATCCTGGATATGCTTAATTTCGAATTTCGAACACATATAAACCATCCTGATCACACACCTCACCCTCTCCTGGTGGGGCAGTGCTCTCTGAAGGATTGAGGTCAGGGCTGGAGTCAGTCCCTGTTGCAGGGGCGTCAGAGGACTGGGTTTTGGTGGGGAGGGGGGCTCGGGTGGGGTCTACCCCCAGCTGAGAGTACAGTTCATTGATCTCAGTGACTGTAACATAGCCCTGTGGAACAAACCATTCGGAAAATGGGGGGAGAGGTAAGGGGGTGAAAAGAAAGACATTCAAGGAGGTTAAATTGATTAATAAGCAAATGAATAACAGATGAATCACTAAAATAAAATGTTTTTATTTTAATTTCAATTAAAATGTAAATAAATAAATAAATATAGTTAATGTTAAAGAGATAGTTCACCCTAAAGATGAAAATTCTGTCATTATTCACCCACATGTTGGTCCAAACCTGATATACTTTCTACTGTGGAACAAAAAAGAAGATATTTTCAGAAAATTTTTTGGTTACACTTTAATTTAAAGTCACGTAGTTACTCATTACTACATGTACTTACTATAGTAATAACAGTAAATTATGCATGATTAAGTAACTATCCCTAAACCAAACCCTAACTCTATAGTAAGTTAAATAACTCCACATGTAGTTAATTAATATTACTGAGTACTTATCTGAGTACAATGTAACTACGTCACCTTAAAACAAAGAGTAACCAAAGTTTTTTATGTCCATCCAATGGAAGTCAATGGTAACCAAAATTGTTTTTCAAAATATCTTCTCAAAATAACTTCTTTAAATGTTCCACAGTAGACGAAAGTCATTCAGTTAATGATTTGGGTAAACTACCTCTTTAAAGGATCCAAACAAATGGAATTTATAGGAATTTAAAACATTGATAAAACAGTAAAAGAGGAAATAATTAGGATGTTACTTTCAATATCAAGAGCGTTATTAATCTTAACTACCCAGAGAAGTGGCATGTTAGGAGGTATTTTGGAAATCAGGAAATGAGCAACAAACATTATCTTGCATGCACATTGCTAGTGCGTTACCTCAGCGTTTTTGATAGAAAGAGAGGAAAGAAGAGAATAAAACATCAGCAGGTCAGCAGGAAGTGGAGACAGGGTTTTGTGGGCATGGCAAAATTCACTATGTGGCGGACACACGTCAGCCAACTGGAAGCAGTCCTGGAATACAGGGGGGAAAAGACCCCGTTTCCACAGTGACGAAACACAAACAACTCTCTGCAACTAAAGATTTCCAGGTTGCAAGGGTTGTAATAAGGGCATGGGCGAAAAAGCAATCAAAGTGAAGACTTCCTTATTTACTATAGTTCATTGTGTTATAGTAACCTTTTGGGGCAGCCACACATGGTTGAAGTGCTCAGGCCCATAACACATGTGTAGTCCAAGAGAGGATGCCATAGTCCATGTCAAGACAAAGAAGATTTGCCTTAAATACACTGACAAGACACAATCCTATCAGGCTTACCTCTTTCATACTGATGGGACTGACAGGGAAACCCAATGCCCCAGTGAGCTCGGAATATTTCTTCTCCAAGTTGATAAGATTCTCCTTTTCCTGGAAAAAAAGCAAGAAAGACTGTCATGGTTCGGAAGCACCAAAAATTATTTTCAATTAAGGGTACAAAAAAGGAACCAAAAATACTGTAGCATGGCTATATGGTGATATTACAAAGACAGACCTGCTGTAGCATCATCTGAAGATTGTTCTTTTCCTTCACAAAGCTGTCCTTGTCCCTCTGAGCCTGCTGGGAAATCTGTGTACACTGTTTCTTCAGGGCCAGGAGCCTCTCCTAAAGGTGTCACACATGTGTTGGACGTGTTGGAAATGAATGATCATTTAAAATGCAGATTTTGTTTAAGTCCCAATTTTAAAGATGAGTCAAATAGAGAATCATGGTAGAAGCTAAATGGTATCAGTTCCTTTAGTCTTACATTCATTTTGTGAATGTTGACAGTGCAATATACAGTAGTTTGTACTCAGTTTGTGTACAGTTGATAGATAACTATAAATCTGGCCAGAAAATATTACTCATTTGCCACTTTAAGAAGAGACAGGCTTGTGATAAAACTGCATTTCCCATCATTCTCTGTGGTAGCACTAAAATGGTAAAACTACAACTACTGTTCAAAAGCTTGGGGTCAGTAAGATTTTTTTAAAGAAACTAATAAATAGGAAAAGATTGATGGTAAAGACATTTGTAATGTTACAAAAAAAATTAAGTTAAATTGTTATTGTGAACTTTCTATACAAAGAATCCTGACATTTTTTTAATCACATTTTCCACAAAAATATTAAGCAGCACAACTGTTAACTGTTAACATAAGATATGTTTCTTGAGAAGCAAATCAGCATATTGGAATGATTTCAGAAGGATCATGTGACACTGAAGACTGAAGTAATGATGCTGAAAATTCAGTTTTGCCATTACAGGAATAGATTACATTTTAAAATAGACTGAAATAGATAACAGTTATTATAAATGGTAATAATATCTCACAATATTACTGTTTTTACAGTATTATTGATCAAAATAAAAGCTGTCTTGGTGAGCATAAGAGACTTATTTCAAATTGATTAAAAAAAGTCTTACCGACCCCAAACTTAAAAAGCTAAAATGCAATTACACACCTAATGCACGTCTTTTGCTCTTCATTTCGCTGGATTAAATCTTCCAGTGTTTGTCAATAAGAGAAAAAGTCCCAAATCTCATTATCTTTTAAACACATATAAAGTTCTTACTCATAAGTAAATCACAAGAAAGAACTTCTCAGGATGACTTGAAGGCACCAATAGGCTGATGAATGCTTATCTAGGAAACTCACCTTGCGTGTGACGGTGCTCCGCTGGTATTCTGCGATCTCCCTGAGAATGTGTTGAGTCTGAGTCTCTTTCTCCTCATCTTGACGACTCTCTCGTTCCAGCTGTTGAAACTCTAGGTCTTCAAAACGCTTGGTCTCCACCTCTAGCGTCTCTGCATCCTGATACACAAAAAATATGACCGTCTACATTTGTGCTAGATCCATATCTTCAAAGTGGAAAGGAATTGAAGTTGTCATACACCCACAGTTCAACCAGCCTCAAAGAAACCAACAACAGTTCACACCAAATCCCCTCTGCTCCACCACCTTCCCCGGGGATGGAGAGACAGGGGTTAAAGTTTCACTCTGCTGGAACCAGACCAAACAAGCCTTCAGCCGCCACATGCCAGTGAACAGAGGACTAGCCACAACTTTCACCCGTGACCACTGACCTTTAGAGATCAATCACGTCAACACTCACATAACATGACTTTCTGCGACACAGAAACTCAGCAGCCATTCCACTCTGTTACAGAAACAGCTACCGTACTCTACACTTTCATTCAAGACCCACCGGCTTTAAATAACCTTGTTCCTTCCCTATAACTTAATTAACAGCTTATGTGGTCACAACCAGAGAATGTGCATCAGCCTATCAGGGTGAATCTAATGAAACTTGTCAATAACATGTCTGGGACAAACATGAAATTGTATTTGTAGATTTTTAACATTGTTACATTATCTTCCTGACAATTAAGCACCCACTACCATCTCTCAATATTGAAATTTAACAATTTAATAATTTAATTTACTAAATTTAGTTTATTTGGAAAGTAATTTATGTATATCACTCTTATATCAGTGAATTCAAATAATCTTTAAATGTAATGTTTTTCTGCATTACAATATTGTATGGAAAACACCATCTTCATTAATTTGAAGAAAATATACACACATATGTTTTTTCTTTTATACATGATTTTTGATTTTTTTGCAATATGAGATATGTATATTGTAATGCAGAAAAACATTACATTAAAAATATTTTTTGACCCTATGCATTACAATATGCAAATTAGATTTTAGATTACAGTAATGTGAATTTGTGCTTAATATTGTCAAGTGCAAAAAAAAAAAAATCTTACACATTTTTGTCTTAAAATTAATTTATTAAATGAAAATATCATATAACCCTGACTTTACCCATTGGTGCCAGAACAACATTTTCGATTATATAAAATAAAAATTATATTCAAAAATATGTGATACATTCGATTATTATATACAGGAAGCGCATGCAAGACAGCCCAAATGTCTGTCATGGAAGTGAAACACAAGCAAGCATTAGTGATGAAGAGGAGATAGACTCGGTTATGAGGAAGAGGAGGATGAAGGCTGTGTGTGAGTACTGACCCTGCAGAGCTGCAGCTGAAGTTGCTCTTTCAAGGCTTCAGGGCAGGTGTCCAACTGAGTCTTCTGCTCTGCAAGCAGATGCACCAGTCGCTCTAACTTTACACGCTCTGCATCTAGCTTGGCTTTGTCCTGCACGCACGCGCAAAGGATGCAGGGAGAGAGGAGAGAAGGGTTAGTGCTGGGGCAGGGGGGGTGGGTAGGGTTAGTTACTACATAAAGTCAGCAACAGCACAAGTGGGGTATGATGGTGCCAGAATTAGGTGTTGAATTAAATGGAGAACATGAAAAAGCAGGAAAATAATCATTTAGAATTGCATGATGCTGATGTAATCAACATAAATACTCAAACAACTGGAAAAATACCTCAGCAATCAGTTCAAACTAAACTGCAATTGACAATTAAAGTTCTCTCAAAAATGAAAATTCTGCCATCATTTACTCACTCTCATGTCGTTCCAAACCTGAAAGACTTTCGTTCATCTTCGGAACACAAATGAAGATACTTTAAATGAAATCGGAGAGATTTCTGTCCCTCCATTGACAGTATATGCAACTAGCACTTTGACGCTTCGAAAAATTCATAAAGTGTAAAACTAATCCATATGAATTGATTGGTTTAGTCCGAATTTTCTGAAGAAAATTGTGTTGCGAAGATGATGACCGAATGTCTTATGGGTTTGGAACGACATCAGAGTGAGTAAATTATGACAGAACTTTTATTTTTGGGTGAACTAAACATTTAATGAAAATGGCCACTTTGCATGCAAGCAACACTCACTGCAAAGAATGGCCCCAAGTGGCAGCAACAGCAATATAATAACAGACACCAATGTTCAATAAATGACTTGCACCAAGCAATATTGTCCAACTGCAGGCAGCTTATGTTTGCCAAGCAACACAATATAGTATTCACTTGACAGTTGTTACAAAACCTTGTTACAGTAGCTCCATTGCCAACACAGCAGCATCCTAGACAGAATGGAACTTGATCAGTGAACAAATCAACCATGAAAACGGCCCTTCAGTTAAAGGGTTTGTAGGCTTCATCGAGTTTCTCTGCAGCTGCCAGGCTAAATGGAATGAGCCGGAAGTCAGGCTGAACTTGAGACGCAGGTGCCAGGGTTTCTTAGCTCAGAAATCCCTCACATCAACAGTGTGGGGTGTCACTCAGTTTAGCAGAGGTGTATTTAGAGCAGGCCCGGGATTACCAACTGTGACACGAACTGAGAGGCTGCCAGGAAGTGCAAGTGTGTCCGTGTGTGAGACTCTAGAATTGATATTTCAGAACTAATATGGATTGTAAACTTACATTTTTTTATACATTTTGTGCTGGAAAGGAAACTTTGAAACCGCATCTTCGCAAAACTTTCAATTAAACTACGATTGTCAAAAATGCCTCACAGGGACTTCCACATATAGGGCCTCAAACTAATCAGTGATTCATTTTGGTAAATTGTACATTAGGATGGTTCATATACACTATTGTTCAGAAGTTTGGGTCAGTTTTGGTTTCTAAAGTTGTTGTTTTTGAGTCTTACTCTCACCAAAGCTGCATTTATTTGATCAAAAAATAAAATAAAAACAGCATTTAGAAATCTTGGGGCCTGGATTCTGAGTCAACTCAGACTAAGCCAGGATTAGGCAATAGTTCAATTAGGACATTTAAGTAGCTTTTATAAACATGCCTTAGAAAAAAACATTACTGGTGTGCATCTTGAGGCAAAACAATATCACTGACATATTTTTTTTTAGATATATCAGTGTAAGTTGCTTTCAGTTAAAACAGCTCAAACATGCATTATAGTCTGGGACTAGGCTATATGCTTGTATGTGGATCAAAGGGCAAATGTCTTAACTACCACTTTTATTCAGCAAGGATGGATTAAATTGATCAAAATAATTTCTTTAAAAAAAAAAAAAAAAAAATCTTACTGACCCCAAACTTTTGAACAGTAGCATAAATCAAGTGGCACACTTTTGACATTTATATGAAGAACCATCTGAATGAACTGATTTCCTAAAATGAATCTGATTTGCCAATACTGCACACTAAAAGAAAGGACAGTTTAGGAGAGCACATTTGAGTAAAATGAGTAGTGTCTCTACAGTTAGATAACTACCCCTCAACACTGATGAAGACTTCATCATGGCCACATACCTGAGATTTTTCCGTCTGCGCTTTGTTCTCGATGTCAGACATCTTTTCTTTAAGTTGCTCCAGAGCGTCTTTCTCCTGCTGTAGCTGAGCCATCTCAGAATCCTGCTCGCCTTCCAACAGAGCCCGCTCCATTTCCAACTACACACACACACTTAATTTTGAAGTAATTTGAACTCAACCTGAATCTACAGTTCTACGTTTAAAAAAAACATCAAAACAATTGAAGTCGCTGACAGTAACTACAGCAATGTATTCAATGATTTTGTGGTCAACTGTGATGTCGTGTAACCACGTTCAGGACCACCTAGAAGGTGCCTCATTTCACACAAATAAAAAGAGGCCCACATTCTGAGCTCATAAAAGCCCAACATAATAAAACTATATCACCACACTGACATTATGGGTTTGTTGAATGGAAGTCTAATGGAACAGCTGACTTAGCAGGAACTGCTGGCACAAGACCAACCAAATAAGAATGCTTTTTGAAGTATCAATAAATGACACTTTAAATATATTTAAATAGAACACAGTTCTTTTAAATAGTAATCATATTTACAAAATTACTGTTTTTACTGTATTTGTGATCAAATAAATGCATCCTTGGTGAGCATTATTCTTTCAAATACATTTTGATATTTCATACTTATTTCAAACTTTTGACAGGTAGTACAAATTCAAAACAAGTTGACCTTGAAAAACAGAAGCAGTCTGGAGGGGTCTCAAGATGTCAAAGTAAGCTAATAAGGTAGAAATGCTGTTATCCACTGCAACAATTTTCTACACTACTTTGAAGAGACTTCTTATCTAGTTATTGTTCACTTCATTGCATGATTGTAACATCCATTCTCTGACATCTAAAGTTGCTTGTCCCACCCCAAGTTTCTTCTCATTGGTCCATTGTTTTTAGACTGACTGCAACAGCCAAACAAATGCAGTAACAGAAAGAGTTAACAGTAAGGGTTTGTCTGGGCCTTCAAACCTCACCAGAACCTCACAAAGAGAAATGAGTAAATAGGAGAAATGAGGATGACAGGAAGGGAAAGTGCATTACAGTGGAGGGCGGCATTAAAATATTGAAATCAAATCAGGGATGAAATGTGTCGTTTAAAGGGAAAAACAGAGAAAGCGAGGCTTGAAGTGAGAGAAAGTAAAACAGGTTTAGGCTTGGCAGGTTTAGGCTAGGCTCATCACAGCTCCTGATTACTTCGCCACATGCACAACTCTCCCACATAGACACTCTTCTTCCTTTACTCCCACCATCCCTGATCTCTCCCACTCCTTATATGACCTACGGATGTGTCAACTGTACCTCTCTGATGGACTCCTCCATTTGGTTATCCAGGTCTTTGATCTTCAGCTCTAACTCTTCCATATTGTTCAGAACCTGGATCCTCTCCTCCTCTATACGTCTTACGTCCAGCTTCAGGCGTGTGTCGTCCTCAGACACCTGTTGAAGACATGATACTGTAAGCAACCACATAACTACACTGTACAATGCAGTAATAATTCAAATATATTATAAAAGACTTTAGCTCAGTTCCAAACAGTGTTGTTTTTGTTGACTAAAAAATGACTAGCACATGACAAAATTACTAAAACTTAAAACTAAAATTAAAATATAACTAAAAATATAAATATTCAAATAATAAATACTATAATACTATGCAAATAATGCTGTCTAGGTAGGGAACTCTGGTTTGTACTTTAGTATTAAGGCATTATAGACTGTTCTAAAAAGTAGGCGGCAACTTCAAAGATACCTAATTTTGGCCAATTTCTAAGGTAGTATCACATGTATTCTTTACAGATTTGGGAAATCCTTGAGTGCACTGCAAACTCAGTGAAAATGTTTGATGTTGGCACAAAGGTGTTTTTGAAATGGTTTGATTTACAGTATGGAGTGCTGAACCATTTACATGGAGGTCAATTAATCATCTACTATTATTTTTAAGGCCACATGTACAAGACGAGCAACTTTGGATCTTAAACTTACAAATGATTGTGTCAAAAGTTTATCAAAGTGCTAAAGTCGGTGTATGAATGAGTGTATGAATGGGTGAATGTGAGGCAAATTGTAAAGCGCTTTGGTGGCCATTGGGTCTGTGAAAGCGCTATATAAATGCAGTCCATTTACCATTTAAAGACAAACCAGTGTGTTGTTATTATTGGCTATTATAAACTATTCAAAATTGTTTGCATTAATTGAAATAAAGACAAAATAAAATATATAAAACTTTACTTAAACAAATACAATCAGAAATGTTGTCTTGGCAATTAACTGAAGATTTAAGTTGAAGGGCAAATTTAAGTTGAAGTACTAAAATGACCAACAAAACACTAATAAAAATCACACAACAAAATTACTGAAACTAGTAATTCAAAGCAGCACTGGACCATTTCAAAGCAGTCACTTATTAGGTTACTGCATTCAGGGCTATGTCACTGCAAGTAGTGTAAAGCCCTTTAATGCAATCCATACCATGGACATGCCCCCTTCTGGCAGCTGCACTGATCTTTAGCTCTGAGAAACAGGATTCACTGAATGAACACCAACGATAAATGGGTCCAACGGAAACTTTGAGGAACAGAGGGGTGGGGAGATACATACTCGATTTCCTAAACCGATTATTTATCTAGGTTTTCAATATCCGTGAAAGGCGATCTGCTTATTTTGAGTTTTATAAGCAACAAGTTGACCTGTGACCTGGAAGAATCCACATGCACGTGCATGTATGATTAGGTATGGGTGAAAAGACTGCCATTTTTCCATTGTGTGAGGCAGAGATCAACCAAACACAATGCACCTGACCCTGCTATATTTGGACAGTGATGTTTATATCTTCTCATCACAGTTTATACTATGGAGGGCCTGTCTCTGAGCTGCTTCGGCTCTTTCTGTGCGGTCTTAAAGGGAATTTATAGTTTCTATAAACTGGTTTCTAAAGTCATATTGTCTTCTAACTATAGCATATATCTTTAGATGATTAAATAACAGAACCAACGCATGACTGACTGCTACTCCTGTGCGGAAGACTAATTAGATTAGTCTATATGGGAGTTGAAGGGAAGACACCCGCACATTCCTTCACGAATTAAAGTGTGCATGAGGTTATGTGCATGCCAAGGAAGGGTGGGAAACTCTTATAACCTCTCCAAAAGGTCACAGGAATTAGCAGTAAGGAAACAGCCTAGATTTACAAACGGTTCAATTACCTAACGAAATTAAAACACACACTGTATGCAGAAAAGACTTCCTGGATAAAGCCATAGCGGAAAACAATCTGTCGGAGTAAAGCTGAAGGTCATCTGACCGGCACAGACCAATCAAACAAACACATGACTTCAGGTCCTCTCAGAGTATGATTGTAGAGGCCTGATATGACGAAACCAAAGTCCATGGTTAATATAATATAATATAATATAATATAATATAATATAATATAATATAATTCATTGTTTAATAAATTTAAATATATACATTTTAATTTAAATATAGAAATTATATTATATTACATTATATTATATATTACATGCCCCCAAAAAGTATTTGGACATTTAAAATGTCTTGATGCAATGCAAATGCAATGACCGCCAAATGATCCCAATTAAGGTGATTTTTAATAGATGCATGAAGTCATTCATTTTTAAAACTATCCTAAGTGGCTTTACCAATTACCTTGTTTATCCGTGTCAGTCGAGGAGAAGGGGTGGGGGCGGAGCCAAGGACAGCTGTTGTCTCCACCCTAAGTTCTCTGTGTCCACTGTTCTTGAACTGTCGTACCCGTCTCTCCTCGCTGTCCTGGGTCTCCCGAGCTTTAAGCCCGTAGTCGTTTTCAGCAGAAATGCTGGCTGACAAACTTGCAGAGTCTGAGAACGTAGACTCATCATCTGACACCTGTAATTTCTCCAGCTCCTTGTTGATCTTCTGCAAGTCTGCGACGGCCAAGCCGGTTTTGTCCTGCTCTGCGCGACCCAGCCCAGAACACAGATTGAGGATAGTCTCCAGACGCTGACGTTCCTATAGATCAGACAGAAAGAGAGAGAAAAAAAACAGTTTGACAAAATGCATTCATACACATGCAGCATAAAAAAAAAAAAAAAAAAAAAAATCAACTAGACAGCTGGAGGGAATAAGTTTGGGAATATTTCTCACCTTTGAGATGCACACAGATTTACCTGCAGCAGTTCTAAACATGTCAGCATGAGATCTTTCTCCAAATAACAAACATTTCACTCTAATAGCCCATGTGCAATATAAAGAAGAGCATTACTTCTATTCCTTCAAACGTCTTCAAGAAGGTCCAATATCCAATCATCTTTGATTCAAACGTTTAAATGAAAAAATGCGGAAAAGCACATTTGACAGCCCAAAACTGTGGTCAGAGAAAGACCAGATGGAGACAACCAGGCATATACATCCAAATACAATCCTGGCTTATGAGGGAGTGCACTTGGCTTGCAAAACCCCCGCATTTATCGACTGATATGGAAATACAAACAGCAAGTTCAGGCGAGCATTTCCAGAGCCAAGAAAAATGATCACACAGGTTCATATAACTGTGAATGAACAACCCGACCTGCATCATAGGCACATTAACAGTTATTAAATTCATAAAGAAGACATTTCCTTGTAAACTGAAACCTGGTCCACAAAACAAGCCCAGCATTTTTACGCATTGCCATGGTCCTATTTATCAGAGATCTCTACTGACCTTGTCAACATATCCAGAGGTCAGAGGGCACATGGTGACCTCCTCCTCACAGGAGAAGATCATGCCATCATCAAAAAGACGCTAGGTTCAGTAAAGTTCCTCAGCACAGTATGCATAAATGACAGAGAGACATGAACTCAACAACTTCAGCGCCACACCAAGCCGGTGTCAGAAACACAAACCCTGTGACGGGAGGTAGATGAGCCGGTGGGAAGGGAGATTGCGAATGGGAGAGAGAAAGAGAGAGGGAGATGATGGTGCTCTCAGGAACTGGGCAGAGAGTGAAACTGGACCCAATGAAAACTGCTGGCACTAGATGGGAAAGGATATACAAATAGTGCATATAAATAGTCATGAGTAATAACAAATATTACTCATGACACGCTATCAGCCCCAATGCATAAGCAAAGGACAAAACTTCACTGGATCCTCTACCAAGGATATGAAAGGCAATGTAAATAATCCTAAACAATTTACATAAAATTTCTGTATCAATTGAAGGTCAATCTATTGTATCTATGGCACTCTTGCATTGTGAAGCTGGCATGTTTTAATGGTTTTAACGGAAAAATGCGTCTCTGTTCACTAGACATTCAAAGTCATTGTTTAATCAGTCAAATTTGCTTGCAAATTTTTTGCAAGCAACATATTAATATTAATTAATAACGAGTAAATATAAAAATAGATCTCAAATGCATGAAATTAAATTGTCCAGTGCTGCTGCTATAGTTTTCTCCCAATACTTTAGACCTCATTGGGGTCTTAAAAAAAAAAAAAAAAAAAAAAAAAAAAAAAAAAAAAACCACAACCGCACATGCTATGCAACTGTGTGCCATCATTAAATGAATGTTTTTTTTTTTTAAATCATGTACAACCAGGGTTAAAGTCTGTAATATTACATTCCTCTGAGAGAGCATGTTTTTCTAAGAAACCCTGTGAAAGTCTATGTGTGGATATACATCTCCACCTGTAGCAGCCTTGTTTTCGCTCAGTTCTGGCCTTGTAAATATCACCAGCCTGTAGTTGTGGTGCTAACTAATGAGTGGGCGGCCTACGCTGATGGTTTGGCCTCTGCCCAGCAGGGCGGCGCCACAGGTGGCCTCCCTTAACCACAGCGTACAAAAACTCTGATGGCTTTCATTTGAACCCCACAGAGAGCAGCTGAAAAGCAAGAATGGAGCATGTTAGCGTAGGCAATTTGCCAGCATCTTCTGCAGCTGTGGGCGCCCTCCCAGAGAGAGTGTGTTCAGGAGGCCGGGTTCAGTGAAAGTGGATGTGGTTCTGGGCTGTCAAGCTGTCTATTAATAGGAGGTTTATACAGCCACACCTCAGCTTGGTTCTTCCACCGCATCCACTACAGAGAACGAGAGGGGCATTCCTGTATGGGATGATTATAGTATCAAAATGATTAACACGTGCAAGCACACTTATCAATGAACTTGATAGATGTTGCAGAAATGTTTTATCCATGCCTTTCAACTTGCGTGTGCAAAATTCAAAATTGAATGAATGTGAAGCAATTTGTACAAATGGAGACATTTTTGTGAATACAAATGTTTTCCTTTGTATTAGTGTATCATAATTTGCACATGCAACACAGAAGATGTGCATGTGTGGATCAGGTGACACGCGTGCATTCATTGACGTCTTTTCTTTGTCGATCGCATTTGATTCATTTGGATTTTGAGACTTTCTTTTCGCGGTTTTTAAGCATTTCACAACCCACACACAAACAACTACAAATGAATAGGCCTGGTGCTAATTATTAATGTGTGCACAACTACCCATCTATTTGACAAATTCACAAATGTGCGTCACTACATTTAAACTAATACAATACAACTTGTGTGTGCAAAATACAAAACAAATACAAAACCTCGATTTTGTATTAATGTAGGCCAGAATTTGTGCATGCAACAAGTAAGATGTACATTTGTGGATCAGGTGACACGCGTGCATTCATTGACTCGTTTCTGAGTCGATCCTATTTGATTCATTTGGATTTTGAGACTTTCATTTCGCGGGTTTTGCCTTGCACGATCCACACACACTGTCTGAGAAAACCTGCTACCACTAGATGGCAGTATCCTGCTGAAACAGACAACGGCAGCATAATCAAGCGTTCTTCCGCATTTAAGACGCTTAATGAGAGTGATATTGAAGCACCAAATTTAGTACACAATAATATAGGCCTACCCTATTAATAAAGCATACTTTATAGAGGTAAACAGATAACATCAGATTATGAACACCCATAGAAAACCATAATAAAACGCTTAACGTGCAATCGCGCGTTGCATGTTCAATAAGGTGTTTGGCTACTGAGTTTAAATATCACCGTCTTACTGCATTGACGTTAAGCTTTTTCTTTATAATACTATGCTCTATGGGAGGGAAACTATATAGCCTACAGACAAGAGACTACATAACCATGAATAGAAAAACAATTTACAGTAATAAAAAAAATTGTACTGTTCAATCGAGATATTGGCTGGACATACAGTAACAGTATGCTAAGTCAGTCTGCCCACTAGTCTTCCAAGGTTATAATATAACCTTGGAAGTATGTTCATTTGAATGAATGACTGGACGTTTATATTTTTTTGACTGTGAGTGGAGTTTGCAGATGGTCCCTTTATAAAATGTGGCGAATATCAAACTTCACTGCGCTCTCGGACCGGTTGCTCTCCCATTCACATGCAAAGTTAAACGCAACTGCAGAATTTCATGTTAAGCTTTTTCTTTTTAACAGGCTCGGGAAGGAACATTTTATTAACTTGAAACGCCGTACGTTGCGTTCATGTAGTCTCTTGTCTGTAGGCTATATAGTTTCCCTCCCATAGAGCATAGTATTATAAAGAAAAAGCTTAACGTCAATGCAGTAAGACGGTGATATTTAAACTCAGTAGCCAAACACCTTATTGAACATGCAACGCGCGATTGCACGTTAAGCGTTTTATTATGGTTTTCTATGGGTGTTCATAATCTGATGTTATCTGTTTACCTCTATAAAGTATGCTTTATTAATAGGGTAGGCCTATATTATTGTGTACTAAATTTGGTGCTTCAATATCACTCTCATTAAGCGTCTTAAATGCGGAAGAACGCTTGATTATGCTGCCGTTGTCTGTTTCAGCAGAATACTGCCATCTAGTGGTAGCAGGTTTTCTCAGACAGTGTGTGTGGATCGTGCAAGGCGAAACCCGCGAAATGAAAGTCTCAAAATCCAAATGAATCAAATAGGATCGACTCAGAAACGAGTCAATGAATGCACGCGTGTCACCTGATCCACAAATGTACATCTTACTTGTTGCATGCACAAATTCTGGCCTACATTAATACAAAATCGAGGTTTTGTATTTGTTTTGTATTTTGCACACACAAGTTGTATTGTATTAGTTTAAATGTAGTGACGCACATTTGTGAATTTGTCAAATAGATGGGTAGTTGTGCACACATTAATAATTAGCACCAGGCCTATTCATTTGTAGTTGTTTGTGTGTGGGTTGTGAAATGCTTAAAAACCGCGAAAAGAAAGTCTCAAAATCCAAATGAATCAAATGCGATCGACAAAGAAAAGACGTCAATGAATGCACGCGTGTCACCTGATCCCCACATGCACATCTTCTGTGTTGCATGTGCAAATTATGATACACTAATACAAAGGAAAACATTTGTATTCACAAAAATGTCTCCATTTGTACAAATTGCTTCACATTCATTCAATTTTGAATTTTGCACACGCAAGTTGAAAGGCATGGATAAAACATTTCTGCAACATCTATCAAGTTCATTGATAAGTGTGCTTGCACGTGTTAATCATTTTGATACTATAATCATCCCATATTCCTGCACATGGTCTGTTTCTTATAACTGTGTGGAATGCCAGAGCACAGGTTTAGTGGGGAGATTAATTATACTGCTGGTGGGATCCCCTGTATCTGAGCTCCCTCAAGATCCCTTATTGCTAGAAGAATTGAAATATCACCAGCTTTTCACTTGATACCCCTCACAATGAGGAAAGAAAACAGGGTCATGGAGGAGGAATGTTAAATATTTTAGAAGAAATCATGTTCTTTATATTGGGTGGGTTTTAAGAAGAATGATACGCTTATAAAGAATAAAAATAAAAAGGAAACGGATGATTGGACATGCAAATGTTTTAATTTTTCTAAAATTATATGCGTATTTTGTGTTAAAGTCAACATGAAACAGAATTTAAAACCCATTTTACTTACGTAATGTGACATTAAGAAAAAAAGGATGGGATTTGAGTCATCAGGAATTGATTGGATTATGAAAGGTGGTTGTTCTAAGCCGATACTGCATATGTCACCAAAGTGAAGTCTATTGTTTCAGACAAAGGTCACGTTATGATATTGGTTAAAATTATGAGCTCAACAAATATAAAAAAAATAAAAACACAAAAACAAATGCATGGATGAATCATTCACAATAAGATCAATAACATGCATTTAAAGCAACACATCAACAACATAAAGTGACAAAAGTCTCTCACCAGTCTTTCGACTTCCTGTTCCCGCAGTCTTTCATCCCTCTGTCTCTGATGGTAGTCTTGAAGCTCTTCCTTTCCACTGAGAGAGCTGATGCTGCCCTTTCTCTCCCTGAAGCCACTCGGCGGACCCAGCCCTGCCTTTCCAAACGACTGCCTCCTTTCCCCGAGACCGATCTCCAGAGCTTGTGAGGGACCACGCATGGCTTGCCTGTCCACTTCTGAGTAGGAGCTGGTGGAAGTCAAACTCACCTTCTTGGCTTGCCGGGGGCTGGTGGCTTCTTCTGATGTCATGGTGACATCCGGAGGGGCTACAGTGTGTTTGGTACCAGGTCTGGTGGACAGTGAGATGGAAACTACTTCAGTATGACCATTCTGGTGTTTGGGATCAGAGGCTCCAGTTGGGTGTGAAAGATGGCCGTCGGGAGACCGATAGCTTGGCAGAAGGGTGAGTTGGGCATCGGTGGGTCTATAGAGGCGTGGTAGGGAGCGACTGTGCGAGCTCATTCCTGTAAGTGACCCAGCGGAGTACTTTCGTTGCCGTGGAGTGGGCTCGAGTCCACCGTTACGTCCTGCATCTGGGGTGTGGAATCGACGAGCCAGACGGGGACTGGAAGGCATGCTAGCTGCACCACTACCGCCCCCTGGTGCTGGAGGGAGGGAATCAGTCCCACTGGTGGACGAGCCGTTCCACATTAAGAGTGCTGAGCCTGAGGTTGCAGCATGGCGACTGTCTGACGTATTGACGAGCAGACTATCCTGAGATTGGTTCCGGCTCATGGGTCGAGAATAAGGAAGTGATGCGTCACGATCTCGAGGGTCGGAACTGCGAGGAGACGGAGGCATGCTGCTGGATGAATGCATTGGCACTCTGGCCACAAGCGGTGGCCGTTCGGAGCTGTACAATCGGCGGGCTTGTTCCTGATACGATATTGGGGAGGATGAGGCGATGGGTGACAGCAAATTGGGTGTGGTGGGTGGAGACTGTGTCATGCTGAAGTAGGAGGGGCTTGAGTCCCCATTGGCTCGCAAGCTGTTCTCCAACGCCTGCTTCTTTTTTTGTAAAGTATCCATCAAATCGCGGAGCTCAGAGACTGAGCGCATCCCTCTTGAGCCAGAGCCAGCCAGACAGTGACTGAAGTCACTGCTGAACTTCAGATAATCTAAAAATAAACAAGAAAGGTTCTTCAGAACAATAAACAAGAGTTTTTTACTAGCAGCTTCATTTTTGAAAAGGTCAGACTATTACAAGCATGAGAAAGTGGTTATGAGAGTTATATAACTGTCTGCTTGGTGATTGTTAACTCCTGGAATTGCTTTAATTGTTTGCAGGAGTACAGGGAGCTCTGACTGCTGTACCTGAGAATCCTGCAATGAACTGGAACAAAAAGATCATCAGTTTTCCCTTAGGGATAAAATAAAAATAAAGCCTGTCCGCCTTGCTGTCAAACTATTCCACATGGCTCTACAGCTTAAACCTGCATAAACCTGCTCAGTTAAGACATTATCTAAAAACAGATACTGACCAAGTCCAACATTTTTTAGAAACAGAAAGGGAAACTGACCAAAATCCACTCTTTACAAAATATTGCACAATGAGGTAAGCTACGAGTGCAAAAGTCACAAAAAAACTTCCTTAATAATCAGAATTTGTTTAAAACTATAATTTAAAATAATGTAGATGATCCAGCACAGGCTAAGAAGAGATTGGATAAAAGATAGAAATGTTTGATTTGGCCTCTAGGTTTGCTATTCTAACTCTCTCCTTCACAGACACAATTTTCTCATCTGCTTTTTGGACGAGAGTTAAGTTTCAATCCGCCACGTGCCAAGACAACGAAGATCAAAGAAATCCCACTTCAGATGACTGACGTGAATGCTCATAAAACACATAAACCTGCACATGCCAAGAAAAATCCCTTTATCTCTTTAAGGTGTGTGTGTGTGCGTATTTGGCTGGAGCAGAACTTTAATCATGGAAGAATCTCACACGTGAAGGTAAAGAAGGAAATAAAGCAGAAACTGAAAGATATATCTCAAGGATGAAAGGTTAAAGGAAAGGCATGCAAGATCACACAAACTTTGACCATACATGGGGAGGTTTTGGCTCACCATTTAGCAACAAGCTCACTTTTTATAGCTACCTTAAGGAACTGTTGCATGCTGCTGATGTATATATACTGTATACCACTCTGGTGAACTCTAATCCCTATAAACCAACTAGACAGTAACATAAGGTTTAAAGTTTACCTTATACCACTATAGTGAGCAAAGTCAGTCCCAGAATGTGTGTTTTTCCCAGGTTTGCTATGTAGTATGTACAATGCACTTTGAGTGAGTGGGTTCACTTTTGTTTATGTGAAGATTCATTCCTGCTGTCTAGCAACACAGTGTGAGAGCGAGAGAAAGACTGAGAGGAGGTGGTAATGATTTATGTCGCTCTCTACACCTCACTCAAAATGTTCAATCAATCAACGGGGTGAATCCAAACCACATCTGTTTACAGATCACACATTCCATGAGACAGACTGGCTCCCTAAGTGTGTGTGGGTTTGCTTAGATATACTAGAGTTAGTAAGCTAGATCTGGCAAAACGTGTGTGTGTGTGTGTGTGTGTGTGTGTATATATATATATATATATATACACACACACACACACACGTTTTGCCAGATTTAGCTAACTCTAGTGTTTCATTTATATATAAATTCTCTTTTAGGATTTGGGTTAGAGTTGGTCCAGCAATTGTAATTAACTTAATTGAAATAAACAAATAAAAGTCTATTGTATGTCCTCATTAATGTCATCTTTATATAGTTTTTCTGGCACTGAATATGCAGCATATGTACCATAAAATTGTGCACATTTACAGTTTAATGCTATACAAAGACATACATATATTCACACAATTATTACTGTTTAAGAAATGAATGTTTTAATTTTAAATATGAAATTATGAATATTAGAAAAATGAAAAAACAAAACAAAACTGAAATTATAAATAAAATATATAAATACATTCACAAATCATGAATGTATTTACATATTTCAGATACTGTTTTTGAACAAGTTTTAAATATTAATTTATGAATAAAGAAACTATAAATTAATAAAACATAAACTTACAGATATAATTTTACAGTTAAGCCACGCATTTACGTGGCTTAAAGGCATTTGCACATTTTTTTTTTTAACTCTTTAGAAAAATATATTTTTTAAATCTGATACTAGGCGCTGAGGTGGGTCATATTTTACTACTGCTTTTACATGTGCATCTTTACACAGAAATTGGAGCAGAGATTGCTCCGAGCTAAGCTGTGTAAAGATGCCTTGCCTGTAAAATAGACGTTTAGCAACCCTAAAAGAGTTCTGCTTCATCAAAGGCTTAGAGGATCCTATTGCAGACTGTAAAAAAGAGCTGTGACAGATAACTGAAACCATGTATTACACACACACACACAGACAGAGACGATCCTCCATGGATGATGAGCTGGCATGTTGTGATATGGGATACAGGCTGTGTGTGTGCACAAAAGATCAGTGGTTTCAGTTCCTGAGGGGGTTTGGGTGCAAAAGATGGATAGTTAAAGATGAAGGAAAGATGATGGTGATGGTAAGATAAGTTGGAACACTTGGAAGAAGGAGAGGTTACCTGTGCTGTACACAAGCGGAGAGAAGGGACTCTTCTGAGGAAGCATGCTTTTCATACGGTTGGCCTCCTCGGGATGGTTAAAGCGAAAGATATAGGATTTACCAAGACAGAGTGTGTAACCTGCAGAGAGAGGAAAATAAACACACACAGATCAATCTAAGAAAGACAAGTTTAGTGTTCACGTGACGTCACTCAAATCCACTCAAGTCCATTGAAACTGACAACACTAGAAGACACAGGGAAACTGAATTGTGAAATAACACTGACATCTTCAAAACATTGAACCATTGATGAATCTTTCAACCATTTAATTCAATTATTCATATTGTTACTCAGCATGGCTGCACATACTGAATTTGAAAAGCTTGTTTCACCATACAAACTGACTTATACATCATTTTTTCCTCATTTTGTCTGTACAGTACTATTTCATGAGGGTCTGGGTCTGTTCTTTCCACTAATCTGAAATCAGAGACCACAGAACAGAAGATGGATGCGAGCCCGGAAAAAAGTCATAGAAAGCGGAATAACAGCGCATGGAAAATATGTAGGACCTCTTTTTCTTCCTCAGTGAAACCCCAAAATATTTGCCTCAATGTTTTTTTGCTGGATCTGAGGATGTAAAAGCAGACAGAACTTGTGTGAGCCTAAGAAGAAAACAATTCCATCAAAACAAGAACAAATTGTAAATGTGGACACATCTCCACATTGTAAAACATGATATGATCAATAAGTCAAGGCGTTATGTTTTTTCCCCAATACTTTAACTAATCAAACTAAACCTATTTCATCATTTTGAAATGTTAAAAAGTTGAAATGACTTGAACAGCCAATTGTATAACACTTAAATACAATGCAGCAACTTAAGCTTTTAAGTTGGAAAATGTGGAAATATTATACAGTGCATGTGTTTGTCCAGCACTTTTACTCACTGATGCTACAAACGTCCAGGTTTGTGAGTCATTACATGCCAAACCCCTGACATTCTTAAATCTGCCTCACACATTCTGGGGTTTGGTACACTGGCAGAACATTTCTTCAAAGCTTTCTCTGGACTTCCCTTTAATGTGTCGCAGAATGGACAAATACAGCTTGAGCTGCGGGATGCACTGATTTCATAACAACAGATGGACACAATGTGCAGGAAAATAAAACCCTGAGTCAGTCACTTCCAAAGGCTTAACACGTCCAGAGCAACACTCCACAGTCATGAAACAGAAACATAAACAGACACACGTGCGCGTGCGTGCACACACACACACACACACACACACACACACACACACACACACACACACACACACACACACACACACACACACACACACACTCGTACGTGTTTAGTCTACACAGCTGTGCTCATTCCTAAGGCTAAATAAATACACTTTCAAAAGAACAAAGATATACACATCTAAGCTTGGCAACCAAGGTGACTGTATTGCAAATCTGTTTCATGTACTTCCATGCAGAATACATTTGTGTAGGTTCATAAAAATGTTTCCAAGACTTTCATGAAAGTTTACACTTAAAGTTTATGGCAAGTCCTTTCCTGCCCTTCTGCCCCACAAATGAATCCACAAACACAGCTGCTTCATCTTATAAACTCTCTCTTTTAAAGTCAGGCTTGGATTAAAAATAAGATCCCTTTGATCGCATAATCAAATGTGCATGTTCCTTTATGAACAGTTCCCTGCTCAAATTATTGGATTAACCCAGCACCACAAGGAAACAATCTTCTGGTACAATAAAACATTTAATATATCTGTGTAATGCTATAAATTAGAGGGGAGAAACAGTTAAGATCATAGCATGGATATTAGGTAAATGTTATTTGATAATTAAGAAGAAGGAAACCATATTTGGCCTTATGCTCTGGAAATATAAGCGTCACAGTTCATGTGCTGACATGCAAACACCACTAAGAGAAAACAACAATACAACAACACCCAGCCATATGATACTCTAAAACTATTTGAGGACACTATTTATGCATGCAGTAATCAAACTTTGAATGGCATCAAAAATGTAATTAATGTTAAATAATTATACCTCCTACATTTTCCATTTTGAATTAAAATGAAAAGGGGGTGCCCTAATTATTTAAGTATTATTTAAAAATATATACTTTTAATTTGATTATCACAATAAATTCATCCAAAAAAATTCATCCCCACCCTAACTGACAGGCTGTAGCAACATGACTCTTTTTTGTACTTGACAATAATTTACATAAAGAGTTAACCTGTGGATTTCTAAACTACTTGTATTTGTAAATGTGGGAGTCATATAAAAGCTAGATACACAGCGCAAAAAAAGTCTTTTTTTTTTACAGTCTATTACGCATGCCAATAATTTACATATTTACATACATATTTTTTTTATTATGAGATCGTAAAAAAATAAAGATAAATATAAGTAGGCTTACGCTTACAAGCTAAGTCCAAAATCAAAGTTTTACTAATTAAAAAATAAATGGCACTATGACGTGACACTACGATGCAGTGAACGAGCACGAATAGGCGGCTTCGATGATCAGCGTTCGCGTCCTTGACTTGCAGTGTAGATTTAATGTAAAAGTCTAAACCACATATCTAATCAATTAGCTGGAAGAAAACGATAAATGAGAAAGAAAACAAACCTTTCAGGAAGTCACATTAAGCGAGTACCTCAAAACATGAGCGGAGTTCTGCAGTCAATTAGTGTTTCACGCCGAAAGCCATGACCCGCGTGCGTTTCACTGATACAAACACGCGCGCGTCTCACGCGACCGCTTCACTTTCCTCCTCTCCTGAGGTCACTCACTCAGTGAGAATAAAGCAAACGCTCCAAACCCAGCCTAAAGGGGTGGTGCTCTTTACATACTCAAGTACAACATAGGAGGGAAGTCCAGCTATTTCAACTTGTAACTCGCATTTGAAAGTAGGTAAAAGCTTATTATCTTTCAAAGTTGCATAACATGGACATTGGTAGTCTCGAAATTTGTTCTGTTTGTTAAAGCAAACACTTGTTTAGTGAAAGGGGTGACTTAACCCCACCCCCTCCATTTTCTTTGTCTACCTACTCAGAGATAAAGTTACCTGATGGATTGTTCAGAGGAGAAGAAACGCTATGAAATAGTACCAGAAATGTTTATCAAAACACTTTTTCCAAGATATTTTCCGTTCCCTCTGCAGGATTTGTCTGTTGAGTAATAATTTGTGCAACTTTGACTGAAACAGAAATCAATTGTTCCTCTTGCACAAGATTGAACATAATCTTGATTCATTTTCTGACCTCTCCACATCATCATGGGGATGTCAGTACAAAACCCCCAGCCTTCATCAATCATAATGGTGTAATGTAGACAATGAGAAATCTGATTTCAGTCTGGCTCAAGTCAGTTGCACAAAATGTATGATGTATGTATAAACTTATGTATAAAATAGAGTTTTTTTCTATAGGTTTCAAACTTTTTAATGACAAGAACCCCCAAAATTTGACGAGGAACCCCTATAGATGCATTTGAATGTACTGCATACAGACCTATTTATACTGTAAGATAACTGTAAGATAATATATTGTTTCTGAAAATAAATGATTGTAATTATCAACATAATCTTATGACAATTTGTTATTGTTTTACGTTTTGGTGGCTTGTTCGTATATCAGAGCCATATATATGGCTCTGGTTCGTATGAATTCAGATTATCTAATTTTTTCCTAATAATCATACGTTTTCGTATTTTGATTCACATCGTACAAATTCATATGAAATCGCCTCCTCATAGTTACATTTTCCCAGGAAATCAGGTTGGAATTATTAAAAATATTATTATTAGAATACAAGAGAAACATTTAAAACATTGTAATTTGTATAGCACTTTTCACAATTAATATTGTTAAATATACCATACAACCTGCGCGCAAGTTAAAGAAGATGGTGATGAAGAAAAACTTTCTAGAAAGATACTACACAAATAAAAACTGTTCTTGAGCATATGATTAGGAACATTTTGAAGTAAACCACCTTTTTTCTACAAAGTATATATAGTAAGACATAAAAAACATGCACTCAGCGGTCTGTTTTTAATAATAGGGTTTCTGCTATTTACATACCAGACACCTTAGTCAGGATTAGATATCTACCCAACAGACTCGCATAGTCTGGAACAGTCCAATAATGGATTGAGTCTGACACCAATCAAAGCATTTACCAATCAAATGAACTTTTGCAATTGTGAGTGGTGGAGGTGGAATCGACCTCTAACTGAGCTCTGCTGATTATTACCAGTCTTATAGCTTCTGTGCTCAAAGCATTTAGAGTTACGGGAGGTTAGCCTCAAATATGCTAGTTTTTTCTCATTGACAGCAGAGCATCCTTTTAACTAGCATGTGGCTGCTTGTTGCAATGCAGATGTATAATATGAGTTCCTTCACAACTGGGTCTCTCTTCTAAAAACATTCAAAAACGAAAAGAAATTTGTTTTAATTTGCATCACAGTCGTGCCTGTTGACATTCCCTCCAACAGAAACAAAGACAGAAGTTGAGGACCCATCTCGCAATGCTGTCAATATTTGCATTTCGTGAATGAAGAGTGTCAGAATAAGTCTGGTAAATGTTTATCTGACTCGCTCTCACTGAGATGTGAAAGAAAATGAGCATGGAGAATGATGGATCATTTGTTGAGGAACTCGGTGAGGCTAAAGAATGCAGGAATTATGGGAAAATACAACCTTGGGTTGAAAAGCTGAGCTCGGGAGCTTACTCTAACGCTTCTGGGAGCTCTGAGTCACAGTGTCGCATTAAGAAAAGATCCAAAACCACACCAATTAAACTCTGATTGACGTCCAAAACCAAAACCCTGCTGGATAGACACATCATGCATTTCCACTATAACAAACTTCATTCCCAGGTCATAAACCTCTTCCCCTTTTCATTTACTCAGACACGGTGTTTTCCAAAGCAAACAAACAAAAACATGCATGCAATGCATGATGGTTCTTTGTTGTAAATGCATTTTGCACTTTTTCAAATGCGCTGAAGTGCTGCAGTCATAATTCTGTTGTGGTTACCTTGCGTGAGTTGTGTGGGTCTGGTAACAGGGACTCCATCGAGCGAACACAGGTGTCCGCATGGGTCAAGAGTGACGAACCCTCGTCTGTTCTCAATCCTGCAGTGTTCTGCTTCAATGCCAGGACCCTCAATAGTGATGTCCTGAGGTACAGGGGCATCGTCACGGCCTATGCGTGTCACTCCTGTAATAAAAATCAACTAAATATGAAGTATGAAGCATTTACTGAGGATTTAAATTAATCTGGAGTGTAAGAAATAAAGACTGTAAATAAATACATTTGTAGTTATGCAGTGTGGATATCTATGTTTTAAATCAGTTCATCTGTAAGACAGTTACTAGAAAAAAATATTCTAATTATTTAGGGTGTGTTGGGATACGTTTACACGACAGCGATGTATTAAAAACAGAAACGTTTTTCCTTTGAGTTTTTCGCGAATAGACGACAACGTTGTCAAAATGATCCCGTTCACACGGATCAGCGAAAACAACTAAAACCACTGTATTATGCATGCCAGGCCAGTAGGTGGCGATGTCACTTTGTAAAAAAAAACACTACGCGACTGAACACATAATACGCATGCACATGACGTTACTGTTTTCATAAATTCATGTTTTTGTAGTTTACGCGGCGACAATAACGACATAGTTTTCAAAAACTTGCAGTTTGAATCAAAGGTTTGTGTTTTCTGGCCCCCAAAACGCTGTTGTTGTGTAAATGAACGGCCAAAGCGCATAAAAAGTTTAAGTTGTAAACGGCCCCTTACTCACAGGATTTTGTCAGTCACCTCAATATTTTAAACAGTAATCATTAATATTTTTTTTTTATAATATTAGATTTTTTTCTTCATATTTCATACAATAAAACTGTTGTAAATATGTAATTTTAATTGCATTGTCATATGAAAAAGCAGTCAATAAATAGATTCAGAACTAATCTCAATCCTACAAACCTTAAGTATATATTACGGAACATTATCAGGGGACATTATGATGGAAAAAATATGAGATGGGAATAAAAATCGCTCACAAATTTTTTGCATTCCCCCGAGAAACTGCACAAGTTTTGCAAGAGAACGCAAAAGTTTTGTTAGGAAATGCAAAAGTTTTCGCAAGCTAACGCAAAAGGATTGAAATATTATTTGCAGGATACACTTGTTCGAGCTCTAAAATTGATGAATTTCATCAACCTGAAATCAACCACCTCACAAATTGATGAAAGAAAATAATACTTTTCCAATGATTGGTGTGTGTGTTTTTAACATTTCCACTCTTCTCTGACCTCTGCTGGCTCACACACACTCAACCAGTGACGCAAATCACCCCCATACAGTTTTACTTCAACACCTCACAGTCTATTACTAACGGATATGTTCAAATATTTGCTCTTTTTAAATCAAAACATAATTAGACTGCCTTAAAATAGCAAGTTTAAATAAGTCTTTGTGTGTGTCCAGCACTATGGCAGAACTGTAATACTTGTGATTTTATTACTCAGTCCCACTGGGAGGAAGTCAGCTTGACTCCTTGTCCTGTCCCTATTCTGATAGGTTGCACACTTCATTTCCTGAGCCATTCTGAGATTGCATTCCAGCGTTTACCATGGTGACCATGATAAGAGGGGTGAGGAATGAGTGGGAGCTTTATGTTTGCTGATGTTGTGTCATTAAGACGAGCCTGACAGCTGTATGTAATCAGAGACAGGTGGACCTGTCTTTCTGCCGCCTTACATTTCTTTAAGGTAAGACGTATTGGGTTCCTGCTTTGGGAATATTTGCATCAGAAAATCCCCATCATTCCACCCTCTTCCCTATGATAAGTGCACTAACAATAAAAGCCACATGTATCCACTGTTTCATGAAGGCATACATAGACAGAGGGTCTTATTTACAGATCTATTCTTTGCAGGCCATTGTTCATGGTTATTTGGGGTTGTGTGTGTGAGAGAGGGCGATCGAGAGATAGGTAAAATCAAACAGAGAGAAAAAAACCCACATACCCTCCTTTAGAGGTAGCAGAGTAATGGCCACACTTAGCCTTCCGCTTCCCAGACTGACTAGGTGAGGGGTCGCTGTTTGTACCTTCAGTCCTTTTCCTGTGTCAATCAGGTCCAGTGGTGGACTCTAAAACAGAGCATTAGAGCATTAACAGTTCTGACCTCAAAGAAAAGCTGAACGATTGGTCCACTAACCTTAGGAGAACCAAGGCTCTGATCTGACTCCGGTTCGAGGACACTCGCTGGGCAGTTTGACTGTGTATCCTGTACCACACAAGGAGAACAAAGGGATGATATGTTTTAAACATGCACATACTTTAAATGTAATCGTCAAAGGCTTTACAAACTTAAAGAGATAGTTCACGAAAAAATTATAATTTTGTCATCATTTACTGACCCTCATGTTGTTCCAAACCTGTATGAGTTTCTTTCCTCTGTTGAACACAAAATAAGATATTTTAAAGAATGATGGTGTGGCGACCAGGACGAGGCTGAGGGCCGTGAGAGAACGGCGCGAGGCCGGTGGCGTGATTGATAATGGTGCGACGCACCGGTCTCGTATCTCTCACGGAGCAGCGGAAGCATAAAGGATGAGCGACGACAGTGAAGATAGAGAGAGGAACAGGCCTGGACTTATGTTGTGTTTTATGTGACAGCAGTCGTCCGTGAGGGGCTGCTGTCTTTTACTTTCATTTTGAATCTGTTGGTTTATTTATTGAAGTCTTTAAATGTTTGCCGGTTCCAGCCTCCTTCTTCCCACAACAACGAACTGTGTTACAGAAGGTAATCAAACAGTTGACGGTAGCCATTGACTTCCATAGTTGGAAAAAAATAATATGGAAGTCAATGGGTGCCTTTAACTGTCTGGTTACCAACATTCTTTAAAATATATTTTGTGTTAAACAGAAGAAATAAATTTGGTACAACATGTTGGTGAGTAAATTATGACACAATTTTGGTTTTTGGGTGAACTATCCCTTTAAATCCCCCCTCAGAGACTTTATTTGTTTTTAAGTGGAACACTAAGTTTAGCTGCATGGTCATACTACTCTTTTCCCATACAATAAAAGTAAATGCAGACACTGTCAAGCTACAAAAAAATGCATAAAAGGTTTATATTCCTTCTACACCATTCAAAAGTTTGGGGTCATGAAGATTTTTTTTTTTTTTTTTTAAAGAAGTCTCTTATGCGAATTGACCAAAAATACAGTAAAAAAATTACGGTTTTCTATTTGATGCTAAAGAAACCCAAATATGATTTTAAAGGTCTGGTGGAAGGGAAATATTTTTTCTGTGAATAAGGGACATCAGTGTAGGTCTGTGGATTCAGAAGAACTGGAATTTAGTTCATAATCATATAAGTAAATATTTTTATATTGTGCTTTTGTCTTTTTTTTAGAGCTCAAAAGTGCCTCAAAAAAACCTTTAACTTTATATGGAGAAGAGCAACATGAACATTCTTTAAAAATTTGTTTGCGTTCCTTGGAAGGAAGACTTGTCTATGATGTTTAGAGATTTATACTTAAATAATACTGCAAAATGCTGGTTTAGATCATGTGAAGTTTACATTAGCAAACAATTGCTGGTTATCTTTCAGTTCTAGTTTAAACACTATTGAGTGTATCCAGGTAAGGAAAAAGCTATTATGTTAAATGACAGTCCAGTAACAAGATAGATACCATTAATAGACACTCACAAAGAGCCCCTGAGGGCCATAAACATCGAGTGAACACTCACACTCTCTAATCCAGCCGCCACACGTAACATAGGTTGGAATGTGTGTGAAAACAATTCCAAAAGGGCAAAAAAGAGAGTGGGAGGAAAAGGCAAGAATTTTCTATGTCTACTATTTCCCATGAGTCACTGGGAGTGTTTGGCATACCATGCCACTGGATTTTTAGTGAGAAATGGCCCTTGCCTTGGTGCTGACTGCTGACATGCAGTTACCATAGAGAGGAGGGGCCCGCATACAGTACATTGCAGCTAACCCAACTCACCCAAACAGACACATAAACATGTATACATATGCCCCAAAATTTATATAGACACTTAATGTAATAATTTCAAAACAAAATATCAAACCAAGTGGTTGCAGATGCCATGCTAGACTGCAGAACTAACCTCAGTTTTCTGAGCCATTTTTGCAAATTAGTTACATTAAGATTTTTAGGATGTACTGTATGAAATTAGTTTCCTTCATGTTTCAAAATTTAAACCCCGGCCTAGAAACATCTTTTTGTAAAATAGTTTGCTTCAAAAGATTGTTTGTGCTCATTTTTTAAAATAAAAATATTTGCAATACATTTAAGTTTCTTAAGTGCCCACATATACTTTTTTTGGTTTCTCCAGACCTGAGAACAGCCATTCTTATACTTTAATGTGCTATTCCTACTCAGCCTGAGAGGAATATTTGACCATTACCGCCTCACGCTGTTCCCGTTTCCTCAGATACAAAACTGACTTCCTGAATGAGGTCACTGCTGTTCAAACACCCTAATTTCCAATCCACACGCCAGGGTCCAATCAGATTGCACCTACAACCATGCTTCTATACTATTTCTGTTTATTATATTAGTAACATGTTAGCAGTAGGCTACAGTTCTGCTACCCCTTGCAGAATCTGTAAGATTTATGATGTTTTTTTTAAAGTAGTCATAACATTTTTTTTTTTTAATTTAGCACACTAATAAAGCTTTTTTTATATAAAACAGACATTTACATTTGCCTCAATAAAATATTTATCAAACAAACATGCAAGGAATGAGAAATTTGTCAAACTTTTTAGGCCTGTGTACCGGTATACACTAAACTGTTCAAAATTAGTGGTCGGTAAGATTTTAATATTGTTTTTGAAAGAAGTCTTTTATGCTTAACAACCTGCGTTTATTTGAATATAAATACAGTAAAAATGGTAATATTGTGAAATATTACAATTTAAAAGAACAGTTTTCTGTCTCAGTATATTTCAAAATGTTGTAACTTTCTAGTGTTATATCATCTCCAGTGTCACATGATCCTTCAGAAATCATTCTAATATGCTGATTTGGTGCTCAATAAACATTTCTTATTATTATCAGTGTTGAAAACACATGTGCTTCTTAATGTTTTTGTGGATTCTTTGATGCATAGAAAGTTCAACAGTTTATTTGAAATACTGTAGAAGTTTTTAATGATTCCTTGCTGAATAAAATTATTAATTTCTTTCAGTAGTGAACGGTAGTGTAGGTTATTTATACTATAAACTCTCTTGATTTAAAATAAACAGAAATGAAACATTACTGTGTTCACTGCATTCAAACTAAGGTTAATTCTCTCTGAAAAGGGTTAACTTTATGTTACTTAAGTCCTTAAAGAACTTTTAGACCCTAAGTTCACGTTTGGCCACATCCCAAGGGGGCACTTGACAATAACATGACCAACTTTATAGCTCAACAACAACATGCACATGAACCATAATCCCCTTCCTCAACTTTCTTTGCCCTCTTTCCAGACAGGTAGACAGGCATGCTCCTGCAGGAATGTCCCAGTGTTTTGCTTTTGAGAACTACTTGGGTATATCACCCCAGGATGAAAATACCAGCATTCCTCTCTAGCACCTCTCCGTCCAATCAGCTCTTAGGATTATAGATGTGGGCAACTGTGGGGCGATAAGAGCAGGTTTGCTGTTTACACACAGGCGGATCTTTTGTTAGGTGACCCTGACTATGGCTTTAATCGTCAAGACCTCTTGATGCAGGTAAAAGCTGCAATGTTCAGGCATGTTCAGACATCCACAGCAAACAAAGAAGCCAGATCTTTCATAAAGACTGCAGTGGGTTATTAACATGCAGGAAAGAAATCAAATGGGGGAAGGAAAAGGGGGAGAGTGTTAATTTGAAAACAACATTTGTTTTATGAGCCACTGAGACAGGATGAAAGATAAGACTGTGGAGAGAAAGACAAAAGTGTTACGAGAACATTGAGACGTCAGATCTATGATGAAGAAACAGAAGGAGCAGACAAGGCCAAAATCTTACACAAAGGGCTTTTTGAGTCCTTTTGCTTTACGCAAGGCATGATGTGGGAGGACATTCCTGACAACTCCATCAGCTCAGCTGTAACGCACATGGGACGATCAAAGAAGGATCACACATTTCATAGTCTCACCCAGAGCTGCAGGACGGGTGGTGACAGCCACACACAAGTTTAGCATTTCGGCGGACGGGTGGGAGATTTAAAAAGGGAAACGGTCTGTCAACCTCCCCCTGTTTTCATTCCTTTCCCTCATCAGATCTAACAAGAACTCTGGCAGAAACATGGTTGCTTTCCAGGTCATTTCCAAATGCGTTTGACGTAGGCTGGTCTTGGTTGTGATGGCTGGGTTCATCTTTTTGCCCTATATAGGGGCTATTTTCAGAAAGGAATACTAACTATTTACTGTATACTGCCACTTTTAAAACATTGACATTGATGGATCCTTTCAATTGCAAGGATCTTAGATTACTAAATTGGTCTTCACCCATGGAAAAATGCTTCCTTTCAGAGTTATTTACTGAAATGCTCTTTGGGGAACCCGAAATGGTTCTTCTATGGCTATTCAAAATAAAAATGTTTAGTCATTATAGCACATTATAAAACGGATCCTTGATTCTGATTGGTTGGGCTGCGTTCGAAGCCGCTGTAAATAACTCTACAAACCTGGCTGTGACCTCATTAAAATAAGTATTTGATTGTATTGACTAGCCCTTTTTTAAAAGCAATAAGCCCTGTGAAACCGGGCTTTACAGTGAATTTAGAACAGCCAAGGGGGTTTTAGGCACTCCTCTCAGTGCCGTGCCTAACAACTCCCATTAGCTGTAAATTCACTGTAAACCATGGCTTCTTGTGCCTTATTGCTATGATAAAAGTTTAAAACATATGCATGTTACATTATCACATGACCTCATCACATGTCGTCGAGGTCCAGTTATTATCTTGGAAATGAAATGTCTTAATCTTTGGCAGTCCAATAAAAAAAAAAAGTCAAATAAGAGATGTTAAAAGATTGTGAATGCAGGCTTTGTGCTGGCTCTGAATTTATAGTGTCATGTTAAAGAGATGCCATGACATGCTTACCTTTTATCAGGGGTCATTATCTTTTGATTACAGTTTACACACTCGCATCTTTAACAATATCAGCATAGAAAGCCCATCTGATCTCTCGAAGGTGACAAAGCAGCGCTGCTTATTTAGTCCAGTCTGTCACATCATGTGACAATGATCTCATTGTGCCTGGACCTCAGCTTAATATGGGATTCCCTTCATGGCATGCAGCTCATAAACCAAGGGTTGAAGCAGCCCCCTTGCTTCCTCTGGACACACTCAATGATGCGAGATCTTTTAGGTAGACAAACCACTCTCTGTTTTGAGTTTCCTCTCCTTCTATAGTCTTTCACTGACTATCAGACCACTGAAAATCATTATGTTGCATAAGGAGGGTGATATTAATGCTGTTATGTTTAAAAATAACAATAGTTAGCTATAAAGACTGTAATTACGGCAGCAATTTGGAACAGTTTGTAGCGGTATAGGGCAAATGTGACTCGCAGCTATTTTGCTTTTTAATAAACGACTTGAGGAACTGAATAATAATTCGCCTGCACCATTGTAATGCAAGATTTTTAAAATTGTCTGAAAAAACATATTAAGACCTTTCAAGTCATTAGTCCCAAATTCCAAAGTTAACAAATGAAAGTGTGGAATGTTGTTACAGCTGCATCTGGCTGCAGGGATAAGAACCGTAAGGAAATCCACATTAGGCTGCAAAACCTTACGTAATATTATTTTAACAGTATTCCTCTCAAGCTAAGATTTCTTTGAAGAAGCCATTACCATCATAATAGAGCTTTTTATACGTAAAGCCACTTTAATAGGTCAGTTTACAAATTAAAGCTAACTCTTTACACTGTATGATTGTTGTTGTTTTTCTGTTTATTACATTTGACATTTTTGACATTACATTAACATTCACTAAATCCTCCTGCACTCTCACTATAATTCAGTTGGCTACTTCTTCATATTAAAAATATAGTCAAATTAATGTTCTATATTTTGTTTCAATAATATTTATTCCTTAATATTTTGTATTTTGAGGCGATTTTTATGGAACTAGATTGTAAACCACAATGATGCACCATTTATTTAATAAAATGCAAATAAAAAGAAAAAAAATCATATTATTTTCAATTCATGCAGTGATTAAGTTAAAAATGGAGAAAAGGTATTTAAATACCTTAGCCATTGTGTATTCCTAGTTGCATTTAAGAGTATATTCAGACATTATTACTTACTTTTAATAGGTTTTGCATTTGGATATATATTTAGGTATGATCAAAGACTACTTCATTGTCCATTTAGCCTTTTCTAATCATGTCCAAATTTTTCTGTGTTCATAAAGCAATTGCTGTAAAAGCCACCAAGTTTCGTACCATTCAGACGAAGTAAAAAAAAAAGTAACAATATAAAACTTTTAAACTGATTTTTTTTTGTTGTTGTTTAAAATGTAATTTTAGGGTTAAAAAATAGAGGTTCTTTACAGGAATCTATGGTTTCATAAAGAACCTGTTGCATCCATGAGACATTTTCACTTTAAAGGTTCTTTTAATTATTAAAACTCTCTTCACAGACCTCATGCAGATGTTTTTTTCTTGTCGCAACTGATTGACAGAATCATCACTCAACACGTGCAATTACTGTCTTTAGTCTTTGTAACATCTGCACCATACTCAACAATGATTTCCCACCTGTCCGCCAGTGAGAGCTCTGTAAGTCAGCTGGATCACAGGTTAACACACCTGAGCCGATTGTAAAAGTGTTGAGTGACGGGTCCAATGTTTTCACAACCATATAGCATCTGGTTCACTAATAGCATCTGCATCCCTCTCGTCTGCCTGCATGTTTAAATCTTTTCATCATCTCGCAGTGACTCATGAAATAATTGCTGCTCTTATGCATGTAACTCATAACAATTGTGTGCTGAGTGTCATGGGCAGTGTTTTTACAACCGTAACATCTGGTTTGAGGGTTCTAACGCTATTGTTTTTGCACAGTGCATAGGTCATTTAAGTCAAACAAACAAAACAATGCACAAAAACAACTATAAACCTTCAGTTGTTTGTTCGGTTCAATTTGTTTGATTCTTTTTTTTTGTCAGAGACAATGAAATCCCACCTCATGGCACAAGTTCTTTACCTGTTTTCTTTCAGGTTTGTTTAAAAGAAGGCTATCATTGTCTCTGGTGTTTGATGTTTATATGATGCCAATCTCTTAGAGTCATGATTCAGTGCCCATGATGAATTCCACAGACAACACATGCCAAATGTGCCAAAATTCGGTCAAGACTGCAGCCAAAATAAACATTATCAGTCACATTTAGTAGTTTCTTTAACCATTAGGCATCACCAAACAGGTACTGAATGATTCAGGTAGGGACACTTAAAAAAGAAAATAATATTTCTTAATTAATTTGATATTTCCATGTATACTTATTTATAGAGAAGACTGAGTCACAGTACTGCTGTCATTACCATCACAACAAGCAATTTTTCAGACAGTTTTTTTTTAAAGGTTTATGGTGGAAATGAAAGTGATAAAATAGATCATAAGTGAACACATCTGCCAGGACAGCAGAAATATATATATATATATTTTTTTTACTCATTCATGATATAAAAATACACTGTAAAATGGTAACTTAAAGAGCTGTTTTTACTTGATTTAACACAAAAATAATTTTGTTGGTATAAATTATTGTATTTAGGTTGATTCAGCAATATTATATATTTTTGACTTTATTATTATTTATATTTTTGTATAGCTTTTGTCATTACCGAACCAGTCAGATAATTTCATTAGACGTCACTATCACTGCAATAACAACAATCCATCACACATGTATGAGATGTATAATATAGACTTAAGTTTAATCTTCCAATATTATAGGTAAATGTCCCTAAGTAAAGAATCACCCTGTTCATTATAGACAGAGACAGTGTGCGCTTATTTTGAGTAGGCTAAACAGACTTTTACTTGTAAATGATAAAAAGTCTCACCATTGCCGAAACGACGTCTGTCATCTTGAATAGCAACTCCAAAGACACTTATTACTAAAGGTGCGCAGCGCTCTTCGCCAAATATCCTGCGCGCTCTCAATGACAGAAAAGAAAAGCCTATTCAATATTTCCTCTTCTTTGAAAACTCCAACTCTCTGCCGAGTCCGACAGTTGATGATAAAAATGAAAACAACTGAAACAATCAGACCATAATAATTAATTTCCAAAGAAATTAAACCAGTCTTGTCGCACTTTGGGGACTGAAAGGCGCTGTCCTGTCGCTCTTGGCCAGCGGCGACTCCGCTGTTCTGTGGAATGCGCAACAGCTGGAACTCGACCGTTCGCTGATGTGCGCGTGCGCATTGGAGCCCCCGGCGCGTGCAGTTCAGCCAGCACTGACAGTGCACTGTTTGTTGACACAAAGGGTTAAAACATTCATCTGTCATTAAAAAAAAGCAGCAGTTTGAAATTAATCAGAGATTATCGATAGAATACATTGGTTTAACTCATCAAAATAAGTTATTTTCAACTTTTTTCTAACGATTCAACTCGTTTTTTTAGGTTAGCCTAATGTAATTTAAGTTGAAATAACTTAAACATTTAAGTACAAGTTGATTGATTATTTTTTACAGTGTATCCCCCTACATTAAACCTACTCCTAAACCTTCCCATCACAGAAAACGTTTCTGCATTTAAAAAACAAACAAAAAAACAAAAACAAAACACTGTTATATCAAGAAAGTGCCCTCATAAACCATGTTTACGTGATAATACCCAAGTCAGTATACACATTTGTGTCCTCATAAACCATATTTCATGCAGCTTCCTCCGCTCACAATTATCTAAAAGTTAATTACAGCTGTCAACTCAAAATATCCACTGAGAAACTATTTGTTTAATTAACATACAGAGTCTACAATGTGTGTCATACATTCTCACCCCGTCGTTCACACCCTACATCCAATTTGTGATTAGAGGTCACATGTGGCTGAATTCTTCAGTAAACAGGATGCTCCAGCGCACACTCATCCACGCTTTTCTTATCTCAGAAACGAGACCAATGCCTTTTACTAAATAAATAAGCAAGCTCTCCACGTGAAGGTTGTCTGCAATGGTAGAATAATAGCTCTGTTTTATACAACTGCAAATGCTGTTATTTTAAAAGAAAGTGCTTGGAATCACCTGCTCTCTGCATGTATATTTTCCTAAAACTCCATCAAACAATCTATCATTACTCTTTACAGTCCCCGAATGAGCTGGACAAACAGAGGGAATGGAGAACTGGATGACCTTTGGTCAGTTCACAGATGGCCAGTGTTGCCCATACAGCCTCCCTTCACCCTGGAGCCCAGGAGGACCCTCAAACAAAAAGGCAGAAGCTACGAGTGTTAAGTGAGATGGAGAAAACATTGCAGCATGTCCACTGTAGCAGTCGTTACCCACAAGGCCACAGTGGCGTGTAATTACACTGTAGTTAGTGTCCCTTTACTTAAGTTACTGCATTCTGCCGACATGAAAAAACAACCCCTGACATTCTTTCATGATCTGGAATGAAATAAAGAGGGAGTGAAGAAAGGGAGAGCCCAGAGTGTGAAACAAAGGATGGAGAGAAAGAATTTTGTTTGTCAAGGTCTTAAAAAGACCACTGGTGCACACTTTCATGGAAAGAACAAAGCATCTCATAGTTTGGAAATGTATTGGCCAGGTCACCATGTCTTGAGCTTCTCAAAAATCTGGCATAATGTTTTTAAGGCTTGGAATTATCAAATCATTGATATAGAAGGGTCCAAAAGTCTGACCACTAAAATTCATGTATTCAAAATCTAAATGTTGGAACTTAAAACAAAGAAATTCTTACAAATGAAGCTTCCAAACGGGCAAATGGGGGTTTTCACCATGATGCCATAGAAGAACCATTTTTGGTTCCTCAAAGATCCTTTCAGCGAACAGTTCTTAAAATAACCATTCTTAATTTGAAGAATACTTTAATAATCTTAAGAACATTTTCCCACTGTCTGAACCTTTTGTGGAATGGAAAGTTTCCATGTATGTTAAAGGTTCTTCATGGAACCATAGATAAAGAACCTTTGTTTTTAAGAGTGTGATGTAAAATAAATAAGAAATATGGAGTATTCTGCACTATTTCTAGGAAATTGAAATTGAAATTGATCTTGACTTCTTTGTACAGACAGTCAGATGTTCTTGCTTCAACTAAGCTCAATTTGCTCTCTGGGACATCTCACATCATGATCATCAGATGTTTCGCAAACTTATGCTATTTCAGTTCAGAGACATTGAGTGTAACTCTAATGATTGTTACGTTGATAATATTTGTGATGAAATTACAAAGAAGTAAATGCATAGAAGTATTTGCACTTGTAGATGTTTGGACCATGGTGTGTCTTCTGATTCAAAACTGGACTGCATTTTTTTCACGTAAAATTCATTATGAATATCCAAACTGAAAAACTCTAGGGGAAACATTCCCTTTGCGATAACGGTGCCGGAAAAAAAAACTGATTTTAAAGCTGAAGAGAACGAGAGCAGCTGTGCTGATTAGATCTGTCTCCACTTTCTTTCTCTCTTCCTAAATACCTCCATGCTTTGAGCACATAATTGTTCCTTCATTGGATTCAAATGCTGTGTGTGGACTCGTTCACATGGTCCTGATCTTTATCTGATGTCCTTCCCATCCCAGAGTCCACAGAAAACAGTCACTGGAATGTGGACATCACAGGGAAGCGCAGGTGTGGAAGAACCTCTTGCGCTCTGCAGGACCCTTTATGTGGAGCCGCTCACATCATTTCTGTGAATACTAGGAACAGTTTTTTTTAATACTGAAGAGCAAAAAAAATTAACTGAGATTAACCAAAGATGATTACACCTAATTCTCATAAAGAAGAAAAAAAAAAAAGATTTTCAGCATTTAATTTAAAGGGCTATATTGGGTCAATCTCACAAAGCCTGTCATGCTTATATCACACTAAAATATTTATATATATATATATATATATATATATATTCCCCACGTTGGTACCCCCCCCCTTCTCATAACTTTAATGAGAAATTATATTATAAATGATTGCATCATGTCAGTATTTATTATAGTGCCAAATTTCAGAGACAAATCAAGGCAAATTATAAATTACATTTTTGTACCAATAGGAAGTTACAGAATCTATATTTATTGGTAAAAATGCAATTTTTTTCACAACTTTAATGAGAAAAAAAACCCAATGATATATTAATCATATTATTATCCATAATGGCAGTATTTGTTACAGTGACAAATTTCTGAACATATCGTGGCAATTATAAAAAAAAATATTTTGTACCAACAAGAAATTATTGGTAAAAAAACACCATATTTTCATAATTCTTTTCATAAGAGAAAAAATAATGATGTATTAATTAAATTCGAAATGGTTATTCATCGTAGCAGTATTTTATAGTGCCAAATTTCTAAGAAAATTGAGGCAACAGAAAATACAAAAAATCTTTATTTCTGTTCTTCACCAGCTGTAAAAGAAAAGTGGTTCCTGTCGTGACCATGGTCCGCATCTTCCACCGTCTGAGGGCTGAGATCATACAGAACACAGGATACTTTCTTTTTCATGATGCAACATAAAACATATATACTTTTATATGACAGAATAAACATTTAATATTTATTGAAATGCATTCTAAAATATGAATCATAATTACACACATTTCTTTTCAATGCATAAAGTACGTAAACGTGCTGCGGTAAAATGATCAGACTAATGGCACTTAAAGCTCTGTTGAATGAAATATAAAAAATGGCCAGTTTAGAGCTTATTTGGTATCCATCTCCTCTTGATAATCACATGCAGTGACCTCCATGTGATCCCAGTTATTCGTGGTCAGCACAACTTCAGTCTTTGCGGTGGTCAAAGAAAATGTCATGTGCCTGACCGATCTGGAAGGTGGAGGTTATTTAAACTAATGACAGTGCTTGCGAAGTCCACAAGTTCTACGAAGTCTGAAGTGATGATATTGACCCCATCTATGCCTGGCTTTTGTGCCCCCACCCATGTCATTATGGTTGGAAGGTTCCTGTGACAGAAACAACAGAAGTGCATGTAAGAACAGACGGGTAGGATGCATTGAATAATGCATATTCTAATAACATGCTGATTTATAGTACTCATACACAAATTAAGCCTGCATTTACACTCATTTTCCACTTTATCTCTTTAATGAAAGATGGTATGGTAGTATGTTTTACACTACCTGTCAAAAGTTTGGAGTCAGGAAGATGTTTTTGTTGTTGTTGAAAGAAATTAATACTTTTAATTAATACTGCATTTAATTGATAAAAGGTGACAATAAAGACATTTATAAGATTACAATATATTTCTCTTTCAAATAAATGCTGTTCTTTTGAACTTTCTTCATCAAATAATTAATTTAGATTTTTTTTTTTTACAGTTTCCACAAAGCAGCACAACTGTTTTTAACAATGATAATAACAAATAAAAATGTTTCTTGAGCACCAAATCAGAATATTAAAATGATTTCTAAGTAAGTAGAAGTAATTATGGTGAAAATTCAGCTTTGCCATCATAAATTATATTTGAAAATATATTACGAATAGAGAACAGTTATTTTAAATAGTACAAATATTTCGCAACATTACCGTTTTTACTGCATTTTTGATCAAATAAATTCAGCCCTGGTAAGCATTAGAGACTTCTTTCAAAACACACTTTCTAGGTTGTATAGATTTGCATAAATACTATATGCAATGTTTAATCAACATGACAAAACCGCACTCATCTACAGGGAAGTTGAAGTAGTTTTAGCAATCACAAAGTTAGTTCTACTTAAGGTCAGCTCAGACTAGAAATAAACTTCCCAAGCACCACAGCCATCTACAGCAGCAGCCAGGACAAAACCAGGAAATGGGAAGCTCAGGCTGTGTTTTTCCTGGAATAATAAACAATCCAACATCCACACTCAGGCAGAGTTAAACAGCTTCCTCCGAGACGGCTGTCTCAGGATGTCCGCTAAGACACCGTACGAGTTCCATACTTCTGTGTTGGTCAGTATATGTGCCACTATGTCATATTAAGTCAGACAGCCTCTGACTCATTTAGGAAGTTCATGTAGGCCATGTTCAAAATAGTATACAAAATGTAGTCTGAATACTATGTACTGTACATAATATGCAAATATTATTGCTCAAAAGCCTGCACTTCATTTCAAGGGGCCTTGGATTTTCTCTTGAAGAGGGGCCCCCTTCAGCCTGGGTTCAATAAATTGTCTGGGACCTTACCGGACCTCCTCATTGTGATGACAGATTATGTTTGTGCTCAGAAGGGTTCCTCACTCTGGTCCTCCTGACACTTAGCAAATATGGGGCTGCCACCTAGTGGATCATTTTAAAATTATTCCAACATTTATAGTTTATTCCAATATCCGTGTGAATGTGTGTGTGTGTGTGTGTGTGTGTATCATAGATCTACAATTATAATTTTTATTTAAAAAAAAAAGTAATTTTGTATCATGTTTTGTCATTTTTATTAGTTTTTGTTTTTAAACATGTTTGAAATATATAGGTTTTATTAAGTTTTAGTTTATTTAGTTTTAGTTATTTTAGGGTGTTCACACTTGGCATGTTTGGTTCGATTAAAACGAACCCATGGTGCGATTGCTCGGTTCATTTGAATAAACAAACTCTGGTGCGGTTCGATTTAAAGTCCCCATGAATTCAAAATTGACCATATTTACTTTGTTAGCCTAAATTGATCGTTTTGTGGTGAACAATTCATCCATGCAAGTCAATCCACAAAAAATTTTTTTTTGGCTTCGTAATCTTTAATCAAAATCTGAAATTTCCCCTCCCCTCTGCATTGGAGGACCTTCCCTGATGACGTAAGTTTGACGGTTTGGGTGTCTGCTTAACATCCGTAACCACGCCCCTCCAGCTGACAGTAGACAGGCTGAATGAAAACACCTACTTTTCTAGATCCAATCAGGTGCTAGTTGGAAAAAAAAGCCACGCCCACTATTTTGCCTCATTTAGTATTCCGTTTCTCTCGGAAATACGTCACAACACTGGAGAAAAGTCGTTTGCAACTTCCGGTTCACGGGGACTTTAAATGAACATGACACGGACTAAAGACATCTAAAGAACCAAAGACAGGAAGTGATGTTACAAGATGCGACCCTAAAAAGGACAAAATGCTGAAGCATACCTGGGTTTTTTTCGGCATAGGAGCTACGTTGCCATTTACAGTTCGGTATACAAGCATCAACGCTGTTTCCTTGCTGCAGATCTTTTCTTTTGCAACGGAGGAATTCCTGGCACTGTTTTGACTCCTTTACACATTTTATAAATTCAAGTTCTCAGTCAAAATACCATCATACATACACACATACAATGAGTGCATTTAGCCCAGAACACAGCATTGTTTTATATATTAGATGTTCGTTAATTTAAGATGTCCATCGCAAAATATATATATATTTTTGTATCTTTAGGTTCGGTCTTAAAAATGACAGTGTGAACACTAAGCGAACCAGGACTAAATGTATTATTTTCTGTTTCGGTCCAGACCAAAAGAACCAAGAGAACCAAACTAAAAGTGTGAACACATCCTAAATAATCCAGGTTAAAAATGTTTCCTCAACCTAAATACTCACCTCTCCACCAGGTAGTTTCTTAGCCCCCGCACCAGGCCCCTGGCAATGGTCTTGACACGTGGGGTTAAAATGGCCTGAGATACATGAAAGCTGCCGTATTTGGCTCGTTCACCCAGCGTGGTCTCCAGGAAATTGATGAGCTTGGTAGTGTCTGTGGTATTGGCCCATGGAGCGGGGATTTTACTACCAGGCCACATCACAGGGCAGCCCTCAGCAGATGGATGATGGTAGAACACTAAGACCTGTGAAACCAAATACAAACTTGAGAAACTGAATGAGCCATTATTCTGTAGTCAAAATGACATGATGGGCTCTAATGATGATAATGCTAATATTAATAGTGGTGCTTCCAAAAAGCTTGCTATAGGCCTACCGCTCATATTTGAGCTTAGTGAACAATCTGTATTAAATTATTAAACCTTGGTGCATTTCTCCTGCAGTTTCACGACAGTCATGAATTATCTGAATTATCAAGGAGAGGTGTCTCATAGACTTACATTGAAGTAGGCAAAGCCTTATCTAGAGACCAGAGTTAGAGACTTGATAGTGGGTTCTAGCAAGTGGGCACTTAGTAAACACCCAAAGCATTCTCATCCCAAGGCGTCATATACTGACGCTTTTGCCAAAGCGTCTACATCCAACGCACATGGCACCCTTTAGCGTCAATATAACACGCTTCGGTTATGGGTAGGTGTAGTGTTAGGGTTAGACCACTAGGAGGCGCCTTCTGGCCCACATATATCTGCGTCTCATATTGACGCTAAAGGGTGCCATGTGCGTTGGATGTAGAGCGTCAGTATATGACGCCTTGGGATGAGAACGGGCTGAAACACCATAAACCACTGGATAAAACCACTCAAAAAACCTCTTAATCATATAGAAACCATCCACAACATCCTATAGACCAGTGTTTCTTAACTTTTTTTATTGTCCACAACAATATCCGATGGCTCCGTGACTTTTCCAGTTTTGTGTGATTTACTGGATAGGGACTAAAGATTATAAAGCATTTTTTATGCATTTTCAACCCGATAAAATATATTAAATAAAAATTGTATAATCGTTATAAAAATACCCATTAAGTTCTAAGATGTACTACGTCCGGATATTACATTCATAGTATATAGAACATACTTTTTAGCTGCCGTGAAGTAATAATTACTAATTCAAAATAAGTACCTCCTCAAGAGAGTATGTGATTTTTGGATGCAGTCACCATTTGATAGCGTGTGCAAACAAAGGCGGTCGACACATGCGCTCTAGAAAGGTTCATCTTCGTCCAGTGTCTGCACTATTTTTCTCCAGAAGTTATGGCCGATACAAATGTCTTTGTATTCTTTTAAACTAAAGTTTTGTCTATCACATAACCACCTCACACAAGTGCTTGTCAATGTGGGTGTCTGATGTGTTTGCAGTCTCTGGTATTTTGTTGTTGTTGTTTCGTCTCTTTAGTTTCATTTTCTACTGTGAAACAATTCAGTGTGGCTGTCCGACCGAAGTTACAAAAATCGCGCGGCGAGCGTACTATTCTATGGTGACAATTTGCAGACCCTCGCATACGCATGCAAACAGAAGTATACTTTATGCTAAAGGCTTCCTTATATGTTTTTCAGGACTGTGGGAATCTGGGTTCTTCGAAGAAAAATGAAATTAGAGGATGAATTAAAATAAGAAATATCTTGGTTTTTAGATTTGGGCTTATTCTAAAAAGATTTTGGCTTATTCTAATGCTTGTTTTTTAACAATTTAATTTCAAGTTTGGAAGTTTGCTGAGGCCCCCTGGTTGAGAACCACTTCCTTCATTCATGGAACTGTTACTACACAGGCAAACACCACTCACATTTTCAAGAAGATTTAAAAAACATATGTTACCAGCAACTCTGCCAGAACATTTAAGATCTTGGTTCACCACCTTTTCTGTTACTAGCAGAATCAGAATCAGTTCCTGTATGACCACAAAGACTAACATGAGAATCTGCTAATCTCAAGGTGTTCACAAATAGAATAGTGCATGGATGCGAGTGTCCAGTTTTTGCCATTTGTACACCTGTCTTCCTCCATCAGAGTGGAAGTGAGACGTTAATCCGACAGTGATTAGGGTCAGAACACAGCAGGAATAGCTGACCCTTTGGTGCAGCACACCACAGACACACAAAGAGTCGGCACGTCAGCACTAGTTCACACACAAATTTAGTATAAGAGTCAAATTTAAACCCACACAATTTCCCCTTTATTCCATAGTCATTAGTTCATGCATTCATGACCTCTAGACTACTAATGCATTACTAGCTGGTTGTCCTTCATCCTCAATAAACAAGCTACAATTAGTCCAAAACGCAGCTGCTAGTTCTTACTAGGTAAATAAAAAATGATCATATAACACTAATCTTATCATCTCTACACTGGTTACCTATTAAGTTCCGTATCAATTACAAAGTATTGCTACTGACCTAAAACGGGTTAGCTCCTGTGTATTTAACTGATCTTCTATCGCCCTACAATCCATCACGCTCTTTAAGGTCACAAAACTCTGAGCTTTTGCTAGTACCTAGAATATCTAAGTCCACTAAAGGAGGGAGAGCGTTTTCACATTTGGCTCTTAAACTCTGGAATAGCCTTTATGGATCCGGCCTATTATGAAGACTTCAGATGATCATAACACCTGTGAAGAGACGGCGACAACTCATGCAAGGACTTCAGATGACGCAAACTCTGAATCAACATGTACCAATGCTACAATTTTCTATAATCATTTGTTGTATTCATTACTTCAATGAGCTCATTGTTTCTGCCTTAAATTATTACAATGTTTTAATTAATAAATTTTTAGCTAACTGTGTGATTTGTTTATGTACATTTCTGAAATGCATAACTTAGACAGTTACCTCTGACAACAGAGCACTCTAAATTGTAATGTAGACAGACATGCATTTTCTGTAAAGCTGCTTTGAAACAATGTGTATTGTGAAAAGCGCTATACAAATAAATGTGAATTGAATTATAGTTGGTGCAAATACAGATTATCACAAATCTGTTGAGTTAGTTGGTTTTCAGTTGGTTTACATCAGTCACGTGTTCCATTTTTCCTAGTCTCCCGCCAATCGTTAGTTGTCATGGACACTCATTAATCATCACAGCTGTTTGTCACTGTCTTATCACCACCGTGTATTTAAGATCCTCCTTTTCATTCAGTTGTTGTCTGGTATTATTTGTGTTAGCGCACGCTGCCTTTTTGTTTTATTAAACTATTGATCCTGTCTTCAGTCCATCTTGTGACAGATCAAACACACATTTATATGACAATAAACTGACTGAATTAATGTCAAAAGGTTGTTTATTTGGTGCTATGAGACAGAGCTGGCATTTGTATCAGTAACGTTTTATTTTCCAGTTTTTGACAGCTGTTTTTCAACTAATTGTAGTGAGTTTCAGTATGACTGATCGCCTAATCTCTTCATGGAACTTTTTTTAAGTGTTAAAAAAATCAACATCTTCTTATTAGTGTCACTGTCTCCCCTCCCCCATCAAAATGGACCTAACTGTTATCACAAGTATTTATATAGTTTTATATATCCACTTATTATACCACCCTTAATCATTGAAAGTGACGTGATGTATGAAGGCCAAGTATGGCATTTAACCCATCCAAGTTCGTGCACACACATAAGGAGCAGTGAGTAGTGAACACACACACACACACACACACACACACACACACACACTGCAAACCTCAGTTGTGGGTATTCAGGGTGGAAGAGATCGCTATTCATTCACTCCCCCACCTACATTTTCCTGCTATTGAGGATTGAACCCACAACCTTCAGGTAACCAGTCTGACTCTTTAAACATTAGGCTACAATACCCCATCAGATTTTGCTGCTTTTTCTTCACGTCAAATCACATTTCGAGATTTTTACTTTATGTAAAGCCTTCATTATTAACATGCACAACGGGGCGTCCTGAGCTCACCTGGTACCTGTTCTCCCACAGATAGTTTAGAGTGATCTCCTCCACCACGTCAAGCTTGCAGAGCTTGTGACCAAACACGTCCTTCAACATCTTGATTAGGTATTGATGATGCTCCTCGCTCATTGCATAATGATGATTAAAGTCTAAAAAAACAACCTCTTTCTTGTGCACGTTCAGAAAATGGTTAATGTCATTAAGGCCATCACGTACTTTGTGTCCAAAAAGCCCATGTATAAAGTATATCTCGTGGCCTGGTTCTCCTGGTTTGGTGGACACACGCAGGTCGAAATAGCGTATTCCTCCCTCAAGCTGTTCCCTGAAGGTGAGGTTCTGAGTCATGGACCATTTCTTCATCACCTTCTTGGCAAGAAAGCGGAATATCGCAGCTAGGTGCTTCACATATGCTTTCTGGTCTGGGCCGACTGGAGCGTGCTCATCCACCCAGAAGCTGAAGGAGTCATGAGACCCTAAAACATGATGAACACAAAGGCAGAATCAATACAAATTCAAACATTTCAATATGCATTTAAAAAAAGGAACAGGCTTGACAGTTCTGCAGTTAATTAGCCATTATGTCATGACACTATAAGTTGTTTATTAGAAAGATTTATTTAGAAAAATCCAGCTTTCAATAATCAATTGCTTCCTATTAAAATAAATCACAGAAACAGGTTTGACCATTAAGACTGTCCTCTAAGGAAACACTAAAAAAGGGAAACATTCACAATCCTGAAAGGATTATAATGTCATTGTGACAGTTTTTTTTTAGTTTACAGAATTTTTTATTATTTTAATAGAGGGGATTTTAAGTCTTAAAAATAAAATATAAAATAACAAAAATGTGTAATATATTTTATTATTTAATATGTTATTAATATAATTAAAATATAATACATATAAAAAGAAAGGGAATAGAAATAAATAAAACATAGAAATAAAACATTTAAATTATATATTTTATTAAAATTATCAATTAATGTGAAGGATCTAAGGATTCTCAATATAGCAACCTGTGTGTGTCTTGCTTTAATAATAATGATTTAATAATAATTTATTCATATTATTATACAATTTATATTAATATTTAATTATTTATTCATAATTTTATATTATTCCTTATCCATGTTTTATATTCTACATTACTTATTATTTGACTTCCTTGTTCTTACAATGTATTTTTCTTTAATCTTTTGATTTTGTGGTTCAAGAAGGGAAATTGAGTTTGCATGAGTATAAGAGATAAGATAACTTCTCCATTTCAAGGTTTTTAATGTCACAGGAGTCAGGACGATGCTGAGAAGCAGTATTTTTCCATTGTTTGTGCTTTGGTATAGGGGTGAATTGAGGGTCATTGGGATAGTTTTTGAAGGGTTTCTTTTTGAATGGAGAGGTTTCTTGCCATAAATTAAAAACATCAGCCCAACACATGATACATATCTGTAATACTGAAGATGTTACCTATCCATTTGAACAGGAAAAAAGTTTATATTTTAATGAAAGGATGTGTTATACACTTTTATGTAAACTGAGCCAAAACCCTTTTTTGGGGCAATATTTGGGTAATTGGGACACAACGTTTGGGTGATTGGGACAGCACATCTTTTCATTAATTTAGGGTAGTGTAAGCATATTTACACTCTAAAAAATACTGGGTTGTTTTGACTTGCTGTCGACTGGTTTTCCTGGTTTTGGACAAGACAAAACTGGTATCTTTTGATAGGAACTAGGAAAACCCCTACAATTGCATTTAATCACTCTTTTAACTAAATAAAGTACACTGCGCTTATAGGCTATAATTTTTGTTGTTTCTTAAATTATAGGCTTAGCTACATCTATTTGGAAAATGGCCAACTTTTGAATTCGCCACTGAATTAAATATTCACTTTAGTATTTCATTTAAATGAAATGTCAAAGGTCAGAGAAGTTCTCTCACCAGGAACCGCCAGGTGCTTGAGGGGCATTGATGTGAGGGCAGGGCACAGGGAGCCCATCCAGTCGGCGTTAGAGGTGCTGCCTTTGGGTCGTGTCTTCATTTCCTCTAGTAAAGTGTTTCAGCGCTAGCATGCACGATGCCAATTCAACAGCGATCCAGGCCAAGCTAATCCAGCAAACATTGTTACTCCTCGCGAAATCATTACAGAAAATCGGCATCAACGCACGATTTAAATCAAGATAACAATGATTTACTCATTATACTAACATCAATATGTGAGGCAAACTGCAGATGGAGAGCGAGCTCTTCTACTAAGTTAATCTTCTTAAACTGAAATTACAATCCTTATCCTCCTCCCTGCTTCCCTGCTGGCGTTAAAACGTCTCGGTCAGGGCTGATTACCCCCGCCCTCTCTCTCCCCATTAGACAGGTAACAGATGGGAGACTTCACCTCCAGTACTGCAAGTGGATATAGCTTGTAATGTTTGAAGAGCACGGACACTTTTGACTTACTGACCCCACCAATGAGTGTGATCCATTTCAGCATTTGTTGCAGTGAAGAGCTGAAATTGGAGACTTATTATTGTACTACCACGAAAATTAAATGCTTAAAAGCACATGCGGTAGTGGTTTTGATTCCCAAGTAACTGAAATATTTTGAATCACTTAACTAAAAAAAAAGATTAGCTCAGTGACCCTTTCTGAAAGTAACATGTTGTGCCATGCGGGAGTCAACAAGACGTGAGTGTAATAAGCGCATCATTGAAGCATTCACTCAATAGATTGTCTCCAAGTCGACCGAATAATAGCAACGTAGCAAGAGAAGCAAATCTATGTTTTCCTTTCACTGTTGAACATGACATTATTAAGTTACAGTAAATGATTAAGAGATAAACATAAATAGACAAAGCCTTCAGCACTTCAAAGGGAGAACTTAAAAGGATAGTTCATCCAATTATTGACCGGATTCCAATAGTAGTTCACGTCTCGGTTTGACGTCAGAACCCGACGTCAACATCCAACGTCGGACAGACGTTATATTTTGGTTGGAAATGAAAGAGATTATGAACCGACTGATGTTGGTTTCTGACGTCAACCCGTTTTTCATTTTCAACCACAATACAACGTCTGTCTGACGTTGGAGATTAATGTCAATATGACATTGGATTCTGACATCAACCTGATTTTCATTTTCAACGTTGGGTTTGGTCTTCTAAATGCGAATTTTGTCATTGTTTTGGTGCACACTATCTTATAGATAACAGTAAGGCTAACATATTCATACTAGAAGCCAAAAAACTTTAAATAGGGCACTTTTTGAGGGAACAGCACCATTGTGGACGTTATTGAGTGCACTTATTCAATCTCACATTCAATCCCACAACTGGAACTGTGTTCTAGAAATATATTTGATATTGATATGAGGGTAGGAAGCCAGGCATAGATTCAGAGGCATAAGGTACTGTAAGTATTACAACAATGCAACAATAATAAAACAATGCATTGACATTTACTTTTTACTTTTGATACTTATACTTTTAAAAAACGAGTAACCTACTTCTGTACATTTACTTAAGAAAAAAATCAGTATTTACAACTTGTAACGGAGTAATATTTGACTTTCACTCAAGTAAGGAAGTTGTGTACCTACTTTGTCCACCTCTGGGGGGTAATAATTTAGCTGGGGTCGAAATTCGTCACAACACCTGTAGCCTACTATATGTCCGGGTTAATTTGAAATGTGTGAAAACTCCCCTAAAGCAAATTTCTGAAGTGAACATTTTAAATATGCTTCCGAATACATAGCCTACTGTATGCAGCTATATCCTACACTGTAACGTTATATTCTATGTTTAAATACGCTATATTCTCGTAGCCTATCTCTATAAAATAAAGACAATTTCATGTAAGTTAAATTAAAAGAATTTACAATGCTTCAGTCGTGATCTTACTTACTTTTGACATATCACACACTTCCTTGGCTTTGACCACTAGCCTACTACTTAAGCTCATACACGCAAACCGACTTCCGGTGTGACATTAGTTGGTTCGCGTCTGCGTTATTTTATACCCTCAGATGGAAAGATGCTCACATGCACTGCCTTGAAGTGTCTCATAGTTTCTGAGTGTGGGCATCAAGGAAGTTTCCTTTAGATTCGGTCCACTAAGCTGCCTGTGGACTTTGAGCAAACAGGGGCAGTGACTTGAATTGGCAGCACGCTCCTCATGTGCGATGTGAAACATGGACCATCCAGCGTATCATGGGCCGATAAGCAAACAAAGATGCGAGGAGCTGCTCGGGAAAAAAGCAAAGGACGGAACGTACCTCATTCGTGACAGTGAGACCATTCAGGGAGCTCTCTGCCTTTGTGTATAGTAAGTAGGCTACTGTTTCTTATTCACTATTTTTTAGGAACTGACTGACAATTGAATACTTTATCAAGGAAAAGTTTTGGATATATGTTGGCCTATTCTTTTGGGTATAATCTCCTGATTTACCATCATCAGGTACAAAAATAATATCTAGCATTTATTTGAATGAATGAATTGAGATTTCAGGATGGTTCAAGCTGATTTTTTCTGATTTACCAGAGTTGTCACCACCATCAAATTTGACACATCAGTAATGACAGCTAGTCTTGACAAAAATAACTACATTTTGCATGTCACCCAAATGCAGTTGCTACTCGTGTTGTTTACTACTAAGACCTGTTATGGAAATAATATAAATCCCAGACATATTCTTCGATAATTTTGGAACAGAGTTGATATAATAGAAAATATAGCCTAAGCGTGATTAGCTAAAACTATTTAAATAAACAAAGAAAAACAACAAAGTTCACGCCCTAAAGTTTTTTCATAGCAGGTCAAATATAGAAAGCAGTCTTTTAGAATGAAGGCTGACTTTGATATTACCCTTTTAAAAGTTTTAATATCTGAGTTGAAAAACAGTTTATATAGGCCTAAGTGAACTTTATACTAGTGAACTTGTATAAACTGAGTGAGTGATAATATAAAATAAAATAATATGTATTTTTATAAAATAAAGAGAAAATGAGTGAGGCTCATTGCTTCTGCATTAAGTTATTACATTGTTTAAATTAATACCTTTTTCGCTAACTGTGATTTTGGATGTACATTTCTGAAATACATAACTTAGACAGTTACCTTGATAACGGATTCTAAATTATATGCATTTTCTGTAAAGCTGCTTTGAAATGATTCGGATTGTGAAAAGCGCTATACAAATAAATGTGAATTGAATTGAAAATCAAAGCAAATGGTTTAGTTGTATTAAGAATAATATAATGATTATCTCTAATTAAATTCAAAGTGGAAATGTTGTTACTTTCAAAACTAATGGTAAGTAAATTGGAATATGTTTTGTAAATTGGAATATATTTTGTAATAAATATGTTTAAAATTTAAATGTATATCTCTTATAACCAGAATATATATGAATAATTAAGCAGTGAATCAATGTGTAATTCCTAGAAGTGCATTTTCACCGCAGTATTATTTTAAAATTTGTACAGTTGACAAACCGTACATTCAAATTTGTGGAAATCCTATTAACGAAAATCATTTTGTGGCTTTTTGTCATTTAGGGTAATGAGAATGCCTGCAAAATTTTGACACTGATGTTTTATGGAACGTGCACTCAAAATTAAAATTACGATTACCATGTTTTGGGTCAATTTGATATTTTTCATATTTCATCGTTAAACACCACTGCATAGACCCAAAATAGACCCCACCCAATCCCCATATCCTCTAAAGGTATTTACATGTATACATTTGGCAGACACTTTTATTCAAACAAAGGTACACTGCATTGAAAGTCAAATTTATATCAGTTCAGGCCAGTTTAGTCAGCTGAGAATCAAACCATTTATCTTGCTATCAACACTTCTGTTATATGAAAAACAAAAAACAAGTTACGATACTGTTTAGAATATTCACAGTTTATGAAATGTTTTAAACCCCCTCCATAAAAATGATACCCAGATTTTTAAAAACATTTTAAGGGCTAGTTTCATAAATGAAGTAAAAAATAATGACTAAATCATTGTGGGAAGTTGTCTAACTGGAAAGACACAAACACAATATAATTAGATATTTATTCCTTTATTCTACTTCCCAACAAAGCACAGCTATTTAAATATAGTCTACTCTAAATTGATAATAAATTACATTCTATAGATGCTTTTGGTGCGGTTCAGTGTGCAGCATTCAACAAATGCACATTTACAAAAGGGGAAATAAGCAGCTCCAGATATCTGCGGTAAAAGAGAAGCGGTAGTTCTAGTTATTCACAGGAAAGAGACTTTGCACTTGAAAATATATAGGCTACACTGCTCAACTTTAGACTTTAAATGGTAATCTTAAAGTGCATGGCTACTAGTACGCCTACTGAAATTGAAAACAAAAAATGAAGCTTTATTAGATTTTTAACAGCTACTAAAATATCCTAACTTAATGAAGATAGATTGTAAACCCTTGTCAGTGATTCTGGCAACCCAAAGAGCATGACACTTCCTGAAGGTAACTTTACTAAGAAAGTGTCTGTCAAGAATATACACAACGCAAGAAATGATGATGTCGGTTACTATAACTGTTGTCTTTTCGTCTAAAAAGGAGAAATTAAAAAAACCTAACTGTTACGTGCCTCCCCAGTCTAGGGGTCAGGGAGACAGTAACAAGGAAATTATCAACAAGTTGGCAACCAAGAACTCTCCTCCCCTGTCTCACTCCACAAATCACACAGATTTTTTAGAACTCAAAAAGACTTTATTTGGAGTGATCCAAAGTACAAAAGGAAACGGAAAGCGTCAATAGGCTTCGGGAGGGGACAAGGCCAAAACAATAAACATAAAGTTCTGACTATAGGGGAAAAGCCTTCTTAACCTTCCAAAATAAGATAGAAAAGAATAACAAATACCTTACCTCACTCCCTCTCTAGCCAAACACAGGAGAAAAAGGTGGACATAACATAAATGGCATCCTCCTCCCTACTGCTTCCAAAATAAACTTAAATCAAAAAGGAGTCTGGTAACTGGTTTGAAGAATGTAAGAAGAGCTGGTTTAACCGCAGTCCAAGTCTGTTCAGATCAACAACAATCAACAATGTCAGCAATTGACAACAAGATGTACAATTGCTCTTAACACACATGCAAAGGGGTGAGGCAGGAGAAGACAGTCTGGGCACCCTGGAGTCAAAAGAGGATCTCTCCCAACTGGCTTTTCCTTTCCAGCTTTATCCACGAGCTTCCCTAGTCAGGAGCCAATCAGTGGGAACCAGGAGATGATAGTAATTCGTATCAGCTGGCCCCCATTTGGACATGAGAGACTGAGAGAGAGAGAACAAAGAAAGAAAAAAAACACCAAAACATTGCACACATAATAATTACGCCCTGGGACGTAACACCCCCATCACCAAATTTACAACCAATGGCTTGTAAATATTTTACATGTACAACATCAATCACATATACCGTAACCCTTTTCCGTTAATCTTCATCACAGGCTCTGGAGAGTGCATCTGCCAGCAAGTTCTCCGAGCCCTTCTTGTACTGAATGTTCAAGTTAAACTCTTGCAGGTAGAGTGACCAGCGCATCAAACGCTGGTTCTGGTTGCACATGCGAGAAAGAAAAATTAGAGGGTTATGGTCAGTATAGACGACTAGAGGAATACAACTACCTCCCACATACACTTCAAAATGTTTGAGTGCCATCACTAGTGCCAGAGCTTCCTTCTCTATGGTACTGTAGTTGCGCTGACTTTTAGAGAACTTCTTAGAGAAGTAACAGACGGGATGCTCGACACCATCACCGTCATCCTGCAACAGGACTGCGCCAGCTCCCACAGCACTTGCATCTACTTGCAGTTTAAATGGAAGAGAAAAGTTAGGAGCTGACAGGACCGGGGCATTACAGAGAAGGTCTTTGGCGGCAACAAAAGCACACTCACACTGAGGAGTCCAAACAAATTTCTTCACCGTACTAAGCAGGTCAGTAAGGGGAGAAACTAATGTTGCAAAGTTTTTACAGAAACCCCTATAGTACCCTGCCATTCCTAAAAAACGGCGTAACTGACGCTTGGTACTAGGGGTAGGAAATTCAATAATGGCGGTTACTTTAGCTGTAACAGGTTTTACATACCCCTGACCTACTTTCTTTCCAAGATAAGTTACCACACCTTTAGCAAATTCACACTTGGCCAGATTCAGGGTTAGTCGAGCATCACTTAATCTGTTAAACAGACTTTCTAAACTGTCGAGGTGGTCTTCCCAGGTACTTGAATAGACTACAATGTCATCCAGGTAAGCTTCACAGTTAGGCAAACCAGACAAAACTTTTTGCATGAGGCGTTGGAAGGTTGCTGGAGCATTTCGCATCCCAAAGGCCATACAATTGTACTGCAGGAAGTTGTCTGGGGTTACAAATGCAGAGATCTCACGTGCACGTGCAGTTAACGGGACCTGCCAATAGCCCTTTAACAGATCTAACTTGGAGACAAACTTTGAAGCACCAACTCTGTCCACACAATCTTCCATTCGTGGTAGGGGAAAGGAATCAGGCTTGGTGACGCTATTTACCTTTCGATAGTCTGTACAAAAACGAAATGAAGCATCAGACTTTGGAACTAACAGGCAGGGGGAACTCCAGGGGCTTTGGCTGGGTTCCGCCAAAGAATTTTTAAGCAGGTAATCTACTTCAGCTTTCATGATCTCACGCTTTGCAGGGTTCACCCTGTATGGATGCTGTTTGATGGGAAGAGCACTACCTACATCAATGTCATGAGACAGCACCGGGGTTCTTCCTGGGACATCAGAGAACAGAACGGGATGTTTTTGTAACAACCCTACAACATCCACTCTGTGATCCTTGGACAAATAGGATAAATGTAAATCTAAATTATCCATTATAGCTGAATTGTTCAGACGTACTTCAGTTGTTTTTTCAGCCAGCATCAGCTCGTCGCAGGCAGGACCTACTGTACCATCTACTGACACACTGGGTTCAGACACCGATGTGGAAGGAAGAGAGGGTTTAATTACCTCACGTGCAACATAATGTTTCAACCTATTAATGTGACATACTCTCTTCTTTCGTCTACGATCAGGGGTACCCACAACATAATCTGTGTCACTAAGTTTCTGTTCGACGACATATGGTCCAGAAAATTTAGCTTGCAAAGCTGAGCCAGGAACAGGAAGTAAAATGAGTACAGACTCACCCGGCTGAAAATTGCGCTGTACTGCAGTTTTGTCAAAGCAAGATTTCATTTTAGACTGTGCCGTGGCTAGATGGGCCCTTGCCAGTTCACAAGCTTTGTGCAGACGGTCACGGAAAGAACTGACATAGTCTAGAAC